GGGGGTCGGCCCGCCGGTCGGGGGCGGCGCCCGCCAGCTCGCAGGCCGCGCCCATGACTGGCGAAGAGGCATCCCTCCCTTCTCCCTCCTGCTCTTAAGGCGGGCATGTCCCTCCACAGGGGGAATGTTCAAAAACAGTGAAAACATTGTCTGGGGACGATTTCTGTCTTGCTTTCATTCTTTCAAAGCTGGTTAACATACTTTTGGATTGTTCGTCACAAACCCGCTTGTAGGAGGACACGCCCTACCTAATCCTGTTCCCTCCCCCCTCCTGTATCCTTTTCCCTGTTGCACCCCGTGGTGCGTCGCCAGGGCGCTAGGGCTGACAGGGCATGTCGTTCAAGGTCCCCTGACCTTTTGCAGTCCTTAGGTTCCAGCTGTTTAACTACTTCACAGAGATGGAGGGGGGGTAGTTTTCAAAATGTTGCTGTCGCTTCAGCGCCGCTCCCATACGTTTCAAGAGTTCGCAGCAGCTCCTCGGATGGACGGGGTGGTTTTCAAAGTGCGGTTCTGGCCATGGCACTGCGCACATTCGTTCCAAAAGCTTGCAACCGCTTCACGGATTGAGTGGGCGGTCAACATGTTGTTTGCGATAGTGTCGCAAACATGTGGTTGAACAAGTGCAGCAGATTCACGGATGGACGGGGGCTAGTTGTTGAAATGGGTCTCTCGCTTCAGCGTTGCGCTCATTTGTTCCAAGAAGTTTCAGTTGCTTCATGAATGGAGGGTGGTGGTTTTCATGATGATGTTCTCGCCTCACCGCCGCGCACATTCGCGCGAACAGTTTGCAACATTTTCACGTGTGGGGAAGGAGATCGTTTTCAAAATGGTGTTCCGTCTGAGCACCGCGCTCATTCGCTTTCGAAGCTGCACCTGTTTCATTCATTTTCTATTTCAGCAGGGTGGCAGTTCCTCAAACAGTGCTTGCAGCAGTAGAGACCATCTCGGGACCCTCGCCGCAACATCGCCGCCGTGCCGCCCGTTGCCGTCGCCGCCCGTCGCCGCCATCCCGGCCCGTCGCCGCCCGTCGCCGTCGCCGCATCGCATACATTGCACCGCGTAGATTACATTACATAGTTTGGATCGCATACATTCTCCTTTCTTCAAAGAGTGTAGACTCTACCCCCCTCCCTCTGGGATTCTCATTACCCTTTTGCGTATTGCAATTTTCATACGACTCTTCCCCATCGCCCATCCTACATATGAGTCCGTACCATCCCAGCCGAGCCCGTATCCCCCCCTTGCCATCCTCTGCAACAGCAATGCGATGCGCGCGCTCGTTTACCACAAATCATCAGTGTCCAAGAATCATTTGCCAACGATGAGACAAAGTGCACACGCGCGCGTTGTCGCCCGCGCGTGCCGGAGCCCTTCAACAACCTCCGATTTCGCAAGGATTTCAGAATCGAGCGCCCCAAAATTAAAAACTCAGGTTTTCGCAACACGGATTTTTAACAAAAGCATGCGCGTTCTTGCAACATTGTTCAAGACAACCTTAGGTTTTGCAACATGTTCAGAAAAAGGCTACCACACGGGTTTCGCGCGCGCATACAGAAATCGTTCGAGCGCCCTTGCGCGCGTGCCGTCGCGAGAGTCCTTTGCAAAGCATGGAACGAAGTGCCCGCGCGCGCGCGTCGTCGCGCGCGCGTGCCGGAATCCGTCAAAAACCGTCGGTGCCGTAGCGATTTCAAAACCGAGATTCTAAACACACATATGAACACACAGGGTTTCGCAATTTCAGTTTTCAGGAAAGTGTATGTTGTCGACGTTATCATGGAAGTGTGCCAAACGAGCCTCTGGTGCCGCATGCCAAAATCATGCGTGCGCCCTGGCGCGCGTGTTGCGGTGGGCACGACCCATGTCAAACAATGCCACGCGGGCCACTCTCGCGCGTCGGCCGCGCGCGCATGTTGGACACTTCTCAAAATCTTCATCTCCGATGCGAAGACGCCGTCACCGTCGCCGGCGTGATCAGCATCGGCGCCCGCGCTGGCCGCGCCGTCGTCGTTGTCAACATCGCCACCAGCGTCGCTACTATCACCGTCGCGCCTACCATAGTCGACGTTGCCATGGCGCCGCGCCCGCCCAAGTCGCCGACTCGAGGTGAAGTGTCCGCTTGGATGCGCCCAGCAGTCAGCGCCGCCGCGGCCGCGTCGGTCGCGCCAAACTAGCTGGCCGCCGCCCGCGCCGGGGTCGGCGCGGCCGCAGAGATGCACCGGCCAACGCCAAGTATTCATCGCAATCGCCGCCGCATGGGTTTTGCAGGCCAAGTTGCGGGTGGGCGGGCGGGGCGTTTGCCAGGTCATCGCATGTGCCATCTCGTTTGAACAAAACATGCGCCACATAGATTGCGCCGCGTAGACTACATTACATAGGCTGCGTCGCATGCATTCTCCGAGACTCTACTACCCCCCACCCCCACCGGGATTATCGGCAGCCCTTTGCGCGTTGCATTGTGCGTGTGATTCTGCCTCATCGCCCAGTCTAAAACATGGGCTCATGCCATCCCGGCCGGGTCGGCACCCCGCCCCGCCATCCTCTGCAAAAAATGTTGTGCGCGATCGCTTTTCAAAAGCCACCAGTTTTCAATAATCCCTGTCAGAGAATAAGACGAAGTGCGCACGCGAGCTTCGTCGCGCGCGCATGCAGGAACCCATCAACAACCTTCGGAGTCGCAAGGATGTCAAAATCGAGCACCCACAAAACATATTAGCCCATGGTTTCGCAGAGCGGAATGTCACGGAAAGCTTGCGCGCAAGCTCATGCGAAACCGCAAGACAACCACGAGATTTTCAACGTGTTGAGAACATGCTACCAAGCAGGCTTAGCGCGCACGTCGAGATCGTCCGAGCGCCCTTGCGCGCGCGCGCCGTCGTGAGAATCCCGTTCAAAAAAATTTGGGCGGAATGCGCGCGCGTCGTCGCGCTCGCGTGCCGAAATCCTTGAAAAACCTCGGGCGTCGCGAGGAATTCAACATCGAGCGCCCAATAAAACATCTGAACACGCAGGGTTTCGCAAACTCGGTTTTCAAAAAAACGCGCGCTCGCGCTCTTGCGAATGCTGTAGACCTCATATATGGCTGTTAGTTATGTGTGTATATACATATATATATGTATATCGGAGGTTGTGGGGTGAGACCGCAATGAAACGGACCCCCCCCGCCAGGAAATCGGTTCCGGTTTCGCGTTCGTGTCGTGCGTGCGGGCGAAGCGAAGCTGCGCGTGATCCTCCTGTAGCTAGGCCGAAGAAGGAGCGAAAGTCCGGGTGCCCGTCCGCCGGTGGCCCGTTGGGCCGGGCGGTGTCCGGGTGTCCCGGGCGTCCTTTCCCGTCCGCTGGTGACCAGTTGGGCCAGGCGGTGTCCCGGGTGCCCCGGGCGTCCAGGTATCGATATTGAGATCGACGTGGTGCCTCGAGGTGTCCTGTGGTGTCCCGTGGTGCCCCAAAATGTGAGATCGATAGTGAGAGCGACAGGTGTCCCATGGTGTCCCGTGGTGTCCTATGATGCCCCGTTGAGTGAGATCGATAGTGAGATCGATGTGGCGCCCCGAGGTGTTCCGTGGTGTCCCAAAAAGTGAGATCGATAGTGAGATCGACAGGTGTCCCGCCGTGTCCCGTGGTGTCCCGTTGAGTGAGATCGATAGTGAGATCGATTGTTAGATTGACAGGTGTCCCTCGGTGCCCCGTGGTGTCTTAAGGTGTCCCATTGAGTGAGATCGACAGTGAGATCGATAGTGAGGGCGACGGAACAAGCTCTTCACACCAAGGCTCCCAAGAGCGAGCCATGAGCCCTCTCGGGCAAGTTCCTGAGGCGCTCTTTCCGTGTCCGTGCCGGCCCACGTGACGGAAAGCGCGCGTAGCGTGCGATCCGTTAGTCGGAAGGGATTGATTTAGCGGAGTGCAGAGGGGGTGGGGTGGCATCCGGAGGCCCTGGGTTTAATGGCCCGAGTTTCCTCCCAAGAGGTCTCCAGAGGCCTCAAGATAGCCGTAGACGGTCCAAGATGGTCTCCAAGACGGCTCCAGAAGGATCGAGAGGCCTCCAACCTCGCCCGAGATGCGTCCAACACGGCCCAAGAAGCCTCCAAGACGGTCCAAGAGGCCTCCAAGACGCCCCAAGCGGTTTCCAAGAGGCCTCCCAAGAGGTCCACACAGGTAGACGAGTCAGAAACAGGCTGGATGCGACGACCTGCCTCCCCGTGGCTCGTCTGCGTCCTACCCCGCGCCCCACCCCGCAGCCATGACTGTGATCGCCCAATCATCGCCGCTCCGGGCCTGATAGCCCACCTGGCCTACCGTACATGGACATTATATTCGAACCCTGTGGCCCAAGATGCCCCCCACACCCTCCGAAATTCATATTGATGGCGTGGCGACGGGTGGGGCGTGAGTGGGCAAAAATATTAGAACCCCAAAGCACCGCCTTTACTGAGATCAACATTGATGTCGGGGGCGCGGGGGTGATTTAGAATATCCCTCGAATGTGTAAGGGTTTGAATATATATATATATATATATATATATATATATATATATATATAGATGGATAGACCATCTACTGTATCGCCGATCTGTCGGCGACGCATCGCCGATTCGAGCTCGGTGCTCCCCCCCCCTGCGCTGGTCCCCCCCCCGACGGTTGGGGCTGTGGCTAAGGAGTGTGCCCAGGAGGCCTCAGACACTAGGGGGAGTCCTTTTCTGATGAGGGCGGCAGTGCTAGGAGGAGGAGGAGGAGGAGGCGGCGGAGGAGGGAGGAGGGGGAGGAGGAGGAGGAGGAGGAGGAGGAGGAGGAGGAGGAGGAGGCGGAGGCGGAGGAGGCGGAGTCGGGAGAGGAGGAGGGAGGAGGAGGAGAGGAGGAGGAGGAGGACGAGGAGAGGAGGAGGCGGAGCAGGGAGGAGGAGGAGGAGGAGGAGGAGGAGGGAGGAGGAGGACGAGGAGGGGGAGGAGGAGGGAGGAGGAGGCGGAGGCCACTCCGCGACGGGAGTTCCGCTGGCTTCCCGCGGCCAGGACTCCAAGCTCACCATGCTGCTGCAGGAGTGCCTCGGCGGCTCGGCCAAGGCCTGCATCGTGACCACCGCCGCCATGGACCCAGGTCAGGCGCGCCCTCGGCCCAGGGCCTTCGGGCCCCCCTTGTAGAGGGATAGGAGGGAGGAAGAGGAGGAGGAGGAGGAGGAGGAGGAGGAATATTCGGGCTCTGGTTTGGGATGATCCCAGCGCGACCTCAATTAGGGAGCAGGGGGGTTCTTTTTCTCTCTTCCGAAACAGTTCAAGGCATATGCGAGCAACGCGGAGTTTTTCGATGCAGACCACTGTTTGACATGGATCGGCATAGCTTGGCGTTGCGTGGCTATGCTTGGCGTTGCGTGGCGTTGCCTGGATCTGTTGCTTTGCACTGCTTTGCGTTGCTTTGCATCGTTTGGCGTCACTTGGCATTGCTGGGAATCCTTTCTTGGCATTGCCCGGAATCGATTTGTATTGTTTGGTGTTGTTTGGCATGGTTTTGGTAGTGGGTTTGTATTACTTTGCACATCTTTGCGTTGCCTGGCACTGTTTTTACGTTTGTGCTTGACAGTCCTTACAGCGCTTGGCATTCACTGGCATTCTCTGACCGACAGGGCAAGGAGCACGACTGGGGAGCCGAGCAAGAACCAGGGAACCAACCCAAGGAACAAGACCCGGGGAACCCGAGCAAGGCAGCAGGGAGCCGAGCAGGGCCCCGAGGGGCCCACCTGCACTCTCACAGATCGAGTACGAGCCTCTTTTATGCACAACGCCGGAGAGCGAAGAGAAAGCTGGAGAGAACGATAGGGGGACGAACCATGGCAGCAGCATAAAAGCTCGGAGGTTTTAATGTTTATGTCATTGTTCGTTCCCGTTATTGACTCTAACTGACGTCCAAAACAAAAAGACACCAACACAGCCTCCTCGGGCCTCCGGATTCGGTCACACCCCAGACGCACAAGTGTTCGGCCCCCCCTCCCACGAGGGGAGCCGGCCCCGGGCTCGCGGGAGGGTGCGGGCCTCAGGGCCAATCCAGCCAGCCTTCGCGGTCCTCCGGCTATCACGTCGGTCCTCGGAGGAGGGCTGTCGGCCGCGCGCAGAGGGGGGTACGGGGGAGGGGGGAAGCCGTTCTCAGAAGCACCCCTGCTTCTTAGAACTTGGCATCGCTCGGACGTGTGCGTTTTTCCCTCGGCGAGGACCATCGAGGAGCATCCTTGACCATTTGGCGAAAAAACCACGCACGAAACCGAACAAAAACACGGGGAATGGACGTTCAAGCGAATGGCGAGTAGAAGCGCCCCTCCCTCTAAGAGGCCTCTCCCCTGCCCCCCGCCCCCCGGCGCGCGCAGCCGGTGCCGTGCCCTGGGGGGCACGGCCGTCCGACCCCCCGCCCCCGCCCACGCGGCGAAGCTGCAGCGCGCGCAGCTTACAGGAGGGACCCACCCCCCCCAGAGAGGTCAGTTCAAGCTGGACTTCAAGTCGGGCCAGTCCCTCAACAGGGGGAGTAGTCAAAAGCAGTGCAAACTAGTCTGGGGAAGGTTTGTTTTAATTTTTGTTTGCAAATGGTTATTATTGTTGTTTTTTTTTCTTCTTCTTATTATTATTATTACTAGTAGTCGTAGTAGTCGTAGTAGTAGTAGAAGTAGTAGTAGTAGAAGTAGTAGTAGTAGTAGTAGTAGTAGTCGTAGTAGTAGTCGTAGTAGTAGTAGTAGTAGTAGTAGTAGTAGTAGTAGTAGTAGTAGTAGTAGTAGTAGTAGTAGTAGTAGTAGTAGTAGTAGTATAGTAGTAGTAGTAGTAGTAGTAGTAGTAGTAGTAGTAGTAGTAGTAGTAGCAGTAGCAGTAGCAGTAGCAGTAGCAGTAGCAGTAGCAGTAGTAGTAGCATCATGTTTAGTATTGTTTTTGTTATGTTCATCATTGTCGTTATTAGTATGATCAACATCAGTACCATCATTATTGTTGTCCATGTCTATTTTCTTTGTCTTTCTAATTGTTTTGATGATTCGCCCAAAATCCTCCTGTAGGGGGACACGCCCGACCTAAATTTAATTGCATCTCGCGCGATGCGGCCGCGGCCGCTGAGCTGGCCATCTCCGGATAGCGTCGTGCATTGCGGGGCGCGATGTGCGATTTTGGCGATTTGGGCATCGGTGAACACGGCAAGCATGTCTGGTATGGGGCCTTGATCTGGCCAGTCGCGCCGACAGGCATCTTTTGTTTGTGCAACGCAAGCGCCGCACCCTTCAGATACCGAGCGTTTCCGTTTCGATTCGGCCAACCCGAGCCCATTGAACAAATACTTCAAGGGGATGAGAGGCGACGCGGCACAGTTGGATATCTGCGCTGGAGTTCGATTTCTGGATACGGGGAAGCTTGTTGCACATGGATGTTTGCGTGCGTTTTCCTCCAGTCTGCTTATTCTGCAGATCGCGTTCCGGCCATCTTTGGAATGGATGAGTTTGCCTCTGGTTTTTTTTGCGGCGTTGTTGCTCAGACGATCTGATCTAGGGTATTTCCCGCCGCGCTGACGAGTTCGAACAAATCACCTGTAACGAAGCGGGACATTACAGAAGAGCTCCGATCAGGCAGGCATAGGATGAGGAGAAATCGCTCCAGTTCGTTCCGAAAGCCTCTCAGAGCTTTCCAGAACACTCTGAGACAGCCGCGGCCCCCGACATGATACTTCTTGTTGACCCGCTGGGTCTCAGAGATTCCCGACATATCTTCATCCGCATTGGTCCTCATCTTGTCTTCGCCTCAAGCGTTCACCAGAGACGAGGTGCTATTTTGTAGACGGGGTTAATGAGGCAGACGTTCCCTGCTGAGGTCACGCGGTGGAGACGCTTCAGACCCTGCGGTTCGCAGACACGTGCTCACAGGCAGCGGCCGCGGGAGAGCGTCAGGGGCAGTGCGCGCTGCAGGAAGCGTGAAGCGTGATCAGATTTGCAGGCCAGTGAGGGTTCGAGCAGAAGCAGTGGGTGTACGGCAGGTTCCCCCAGCGTCGAGGCGGTTGCAACACCAACGCGGGCGTTCAAGGTTGAGCCTCCCCGCTGGGGCAGAATCGGCCGACGTCGAGCTACCTTTGCTGAACGATCCACGCGGTGTCAGAAACCACCGCGCATAGCCAATGTGCGCCGCGCTAAGGCGAGAGCCATATTTTGAAAACTACCCGCCCTCCATTTGTGAAACTGTTGCCAATGTTTAAGCTTCAGAGTCAGAAATAGTGAGGAGATCTCAGGCGGAACGCCCGGCCAGCCCAAAAAACTAGCCTCGGGGTGCGACAGGGAGGAGCTATCTATAAAAAACAATAAGGGAGGAGGAGGAGGAGGAGGAGGAGGAGGAGGAGGAGGAGGAGGAGGAGGCGGTAGAGGAGGATGATGAGGAGGAGGAGGAGACGGAGGAGGAGGAGGAGAAGGAGAAGAAGGAGGAGGAGGACCAGTGTGAACCCAAGAGTCATCAACGATGTTGGAATTAACCCTCCCTCCAAGCTCCCTCTTCACATTTCCCTAAACTGCCTCGTTGAAAGACAACCAGTTGAAGACCTTGAAGCATGCCAGAACATTGCTCTCGGGATTTCCACGCCGCGGATCAACCTGACTGCTGCGTCCTGACGATCTGGAATCTTGCCAGAACGCCATGTTTGGGACTCCAACACCGCGCACCAACGTAACTGTTGTACCCGCATAATCTTGAATCCTTCCACAACACCATTTCTGCTACGTTGATCCCGGGAACCCGTGGCACTCTTGCAATTTGTTTTAATGAATGCGTTTGGCGCTCAGGCGAGAGCCACATTTTGAAAAAGACCCGCCTTCAATTCGTGAAACTCTTGCAAATGTTTAAAGCGAATGTGCGCGGCGCGAGTGCGAGAGCCACATTTTGAAAGCCACCCGCCCTCAAACCGAGAAACTCTTGCAATTGTTTACAATGAATGTGCGCGGCTCTAAGGCCAGAGCCACAATTTGAAAACGACCCGCCCTCAATCCGTGCAACTCTTGCACGTGTTGTAAAACGAATGTGCGCAGCGCTAGGGCGAGAGCCACATTTTGAAAACCGCCCGCCCTCAATCCGTGAAGTTCTTGCAGTTTGTTTAAAACGAATGTGCGCGGCGGTAAGGCGAGAGCCACATTTTGAAAACGAATCGCTCTCCATCTGCGAAGACGTTGCCCTTTTTAAAACTTCATGCTCATAAATGGTAAGGAAGTCGCAGGCGAAACGCCCAGCCAGCCCTAACAACTGGCCTCGGGGAGCGACAGGGAGAGATTATTTATAAGGAGAAGGAATGGAGGTGAAGCAGGAGGAGGAGGTGGTGGAGGAGGGGAAATGGGAGCAGGAGGAGGAGGACGACGAAGAGGAGGGGAGGGAGGAGGAGGAGTAGGAGGGGGAGGAACAGGAGGAGGAGGAGGACGACGAGGACGAGAGGAGGAGAGGAGGAGGAGGGAGGAGGAGGAGGAGGGGAGGGGGAGGGGGATGAGGAGGAGGAGGGAGGAGGAGGAGGAGGAGGAGGAGGAGGAGGAGGAGGAGGAATGGATAGAAAGAGGAGGAGAGGAGGAGGAGGAGAAGCTGGAGGAGGAGGAGCAGGAGGAGGAGGAGGAGGCGGAGGAGGAGGAGGATGCGGAGGAGGGGGAGAAGGACAAGCAGCAACGGATGCAGGAGGAGGAGGAGGAGAAACTGGAGGAGCAGGATGAGGAGGAGGATGAAGAGTAGGAGGAGGAGGAGGAGGAGGAGGAGGAGGAGGAGGAGGAGGAGGGGAGGAAATAGAAAGAGGAGGAGGAGAGGAGAAAAAGGAGGAGGAGGAGGTTTCTTACCGTCTCTCCCTCCTCTCGTCTCCGCATTCCCTCTAACTCTGTCAGCACGGGTGGTAGTGGTGATGGTAGCGGAGGGCTGTATTACGGCACGAGTTCCTCGACAGCGTGTCCGTGTATGGGCGCACGCGACAGGCTTGTGGGGCGCCTCAGGGTCCCAAGAGCGAGATCTTACCAAGCATACGGCAATCATCGGGGTCACCTCTCAGAAGGAAGACGTCTGGTCACAACGCTTCCCCTGTTTTCTCGCCACTGCCTGACTCGGACGGCCTGCCGTGGATCGTGGTCGCCCTTGGCCGCCGAAGCCAAACCCGGCGTCCTGATCAGTCCACTACGCGGGGCTCGAGATTCCCAACGCAATCATTTTGCGTGGGCTTCGTGCCGTGGCTGTGCTGATGTTGGCCACGGTGCCAGGCGACCGGTCCCCCTTGGGGGCCGCGGCTCGGAGACGACTGCCGTCTTGGCCGTGCCAGCACGCCAGAGGCCCGGGCAGCCGCCAGGTGCCCGCGTGTGCGCGGCCGCTAGCGCTCCGTCCGCACCCGCGAGCAGCGGCCTCGCGCTGCGTCGTGGCGCCCCAGCGCGCCAGAGGCCAGCGTGGGAATGGAAAGGGTGAGGGAGGGGGGAGGGAGGAGGAGAAGGAGGAGGAGGAGGAGGAGCTGGAGGAGGAGGAGCAGGAGGAAAAGAAGGAGGAGGAGGAGGAGGAGGCAAGGGGCTTCATCTGGCTTCAGCAACCCAAGACCGCTCCACAGGTATGCGCATCACATGAGCAACTGGCCTGCCAGCAGGTGCTCCACGGAAAGTTGTTACCCCCGACGCCCCAGGGACCCGCAGAAGCCCTGGGGCACCTTAGTTCTTTTAAAGATCGACGAAGGGTATGCTCCACGTTTTCTGATAGCAAGATCTCTTATCGTAGGGGGGAGATTTTTTTCGGGTGGCGGGTCTGCGAGATCTGGGGTTGTCCTCCAGATTGAGGCTTGAGAAGCCCAAACGTAATGACACCTACAGGATTTTGATGACTCCGCTCGGATTCGAACGTGGAGGCGGATTCTTCACGATTCACCCACAATCCGGGCTCCCGCTCGAGACGTCTTGCATTTTCAGGCCCGAGGAGCCCCACGGCGAGGACAGCTACAGGGCTTCATGGAGGCGGGGACCCCATGGGGAGGGGGCTCCCGCTCGAGACTTCTTGCGACTCACTCATGTACGCGGCTCTCGCTCGAGACTTTCTCAAGGTGAATGTGTGAGTCAGCGTGTCAGTGTGTGAGTGTGCGCGATGATGGTGACGATGACGATGACGATGATGATGATGCTGATGATGATGATGCTGCTGATGATGATGATGGTGATAGTGATGGTGATGGTGATGGTGATGATGCTGATGCTGATGATGATACTGATGATGATGCTGATGAGTATGGTTCTGATGCTGATGATAATGATGGTGATGATGATGGTGATGGTTATGGTGGTGATGATAATGATGCTGATGATGATGATGATGATGATGATGGTGATGGTGATGGTGATGGTGATGATGATGTATCATAACACCCTTGGGGTTGGGAGCATGTTTTGGCCTCTTGTGCTAAGCGTCGTCGCCTGTACCCGTAAGTGTAGGGTTCAAGCGGTTGCGCCCCAGGTCAGGAAGGCGAGCGAGCTCTTCACATCGCGGAGCCGACACCCTTCTCGCTTTCTCTAGGGCTCGTCCGCCCGCCCCGAGTCCGCGATGGTGGAGGACGGCTCGGGCACGATGGAGCCGGGTACCTGCTTCCACCACCCAGTCGTCCATCACGATGGGTCGAGTGGTGGTTCGGCGCCGGGCGTCGTGCGGCGGATGGTGACGAATAGCCCTCGAGGCGTAGCCTGCGAGGTAGAGTATTTGGAGCAGACGGCCCGTATTTCTCATGGCGGTTACGCTCCAGGATCGCCAAACGAGAGAAGTTCAGTGTGCATGTCTGCGTTGGGTCGGCCTCGAAGTGCAGGTATGTTGCACCGCGAGGCTGCCGGTTGTGCACACGTGGGGAGGGCACAATCTTGTGCTATCTGCCTTGTCGTTTCCTGCGTCCGTTTCCACACTGTTGGTGAGGAAGAAAACGGTTTTCTAGTGCAACCGGCATTCGCGTCACGACGGTGGTTCTTGAATCTTGCGGTCCGCTCCAATCTTCTCCCTCCAAAAAAAAACACGTGGGGAGGGGCACGTTCTTGCCGCGGGGCTCTGGTGGAGTGCCAGCGCGCCCGATGGCCAGGGAGGAGGCAGGGACCCGACGCTGCTCCCTGCTGGGGCGGCCCAGCACGGAGGCCAGTAAGAACTCGCGCTGGGCGGCGGGCGAGGGGAGGAGGAGGAGGAGGAGGAGGAGGAGGAGGAGGAGGAGGAGGAGGAGGAGGAGGAGGAGGAGGGGGAGGAGGAGGAGGAGGCTGCCGTTCCTTCTCTCCGAGGACCCTTGAGGCCTTCCTCCTCTTTCCTTTCTGGCGGGGGTCCCTTGGGTCCCTGGGCCCGCTCTCCGAGGCTTCCTGGATGCTCTCGGAGGCCGTCGGAAGTAGCTAGGGTCGCGCCGCGCGGGCGCGCGGCGCGGGCTTCGGCGGAACAGACCGCCTTTGCGCCCGCACGCCTGGAGGAGGAGGAGGGAAGACGAGCGGAGCAGAAGGAGGAGGAGGAGGAGGAGGAGGAGGAGGAGGAGGAGGAGGAGGAAGAGAGGACGCAGGACGCAGCATAGAACGCGCAGGCAACGACCCGCAAGCGCGCCTGGGCATGAACGACGGAGCAGGGGAATGATGTTGCTGGTGATGATGATGATGATGCTGATGCTGATGCTGATGATGCTGATGCTGATGATGATGATGATGATGATGATGATGATGATGATGATGATGATGATGATGATGATGATGATGATGGTGATGATGATGATTATGATCATGATGATGATGATGATGATGATGGTGGTGGTAATGATGATGGTGATGATGATGATGATGATGATGATGATGATGGTGATGACGGTGATGTGACGGTGATGCTGATGCTGATGAGGATGAGGATGGTAATGATGAGGAGGATGAGGAGGAGAAGGAGGAGGAGGACCAGTATGAGCCCCAGACGCATCAAGGACATTGCAACGAACCTTCGCTCCAACTTTCTTCTTCAGGTCCCGGCATAATTTACACTCACGGCTAGAAGTGCCACGTTGGAAGACAAACGTCTGAGAACCCGCTCTCGTGACAAAACACCACTCGTTGGATTTCAACGTTGCAAATCATTGTTGTTGCTGCGTCCCAGCGATCGTGCCAGAACACCACCCCGAAGACTGCAACACCATGAGTCAACGTGACTTTTGCGCCCTGGCAACCCTATATCGTGCCAGGGAACAATTCTAGGGAATCCGTTGAATTGTTATAGAACTTTTAACACGGTTGCGCTCGGCGCTGGGGCGAGAGACACATGTTGAAAATGGCCCGCCCCCATCCGTGAAACATTGGCACATGTTTACGAGTGCGCCCGGTGCTACAGCAAGAGCCAGATTGTGAACATCAGCCGCCCTCCATCCGTGAAGCTCTGGTGCTTTTTAAGACGAATGCGCGCGGCGCTAAAGCGATAGCCACATTTGGAAAAAGAGCCTCCCACAATTCGTGAAGCTCTGGCAGGCTTTAGGACGAATGCGCGGGGCGCTAAGGCGAGAACCAGATTTGGAAAAGGAACCGCCCTCCACCCGTAAAGCTTTCGCACACTTTAAGACGACTGTGCGCGGCGCTAATGCGAGAGCAAGAGTTTTGAAAGGAGCCGCCTCCATCAGCGAAACTCTTGCACAAATTTTTAATGAATGTGAGCGGCGCCGAAGCGACAGCGACATTAAACAAAAGAGCCGCGCTCCGTCCGTTAAACCCCTGCAAACTTTCAAGACGAATTTGTGCGGCGCCCAGTCGAGGGCCACATTTGAACACGACCCGCGCTCCATCCGTGAAGCCCTACGAACTTTTAAGACGAATGCTCGCGCCGCGAAGGCGAGAGCCACATTTTGAAAACCACCCACCCTCCATCCCTGTTGCACAGTGTGAGTTAAGGTTGGTATAGCTTGAGGACGTCTCAGGCAAGACGCCCGGCCCGCCCTACCAACACGTGTCGGCGTGCGACAGGGAGAATTTTTTTGTAAGGACAAGGGGTGGAAGAGAAAGAGGAAGAGGAGGAGGAGGAGAAGGAGGAGGAGGAGGAGTATCATCAGGTGTTTTTCATTATTCTTCTCTCCTGCCCCCTACTGGGTTTGCTGGGGAGCAGTTGCCCTGCCCGTGGGGTTGGGGGGGGATCCGCCCGTCGTGCTTTGCTTATTCTTCGTTGCTCCGCTTAGGTGGATCAGCCCCCCAGCAGTGATCGCTGCTGGGGTGGGGGCAGGTTGCGTTCGAGACGACCTCCGAAGCCGACGGCGACAGCGGCAGGAGGAACGGGAGGAGAGGGGGTGCGACGTAGGATGAGGGGGATATCTGGGGAAGCTAAAAGATACCGATGCCGTTGCTCCCTGGACCTCCCTGGGAGTGCGGCCTGACCAGGACTTCGAGGAACATCCAGCCGTGGCGACGAGGGCCTCCCGGGAGGCCCGAGAAGGCAAGAACGAGGCAAGGGCAGCGGCATTGGTACCTGCTCTTCCCCAGGGACGCGGAGGAGGGCGACGAGGAAGAGGAGGAGCAGGAGGGGGTAGGAATGACGGGGGGGGGCAGTCCCAGAGCGCGCTCACAGGTGCAGAAGAGCCGAGCCGTTGACCAGGCGGCCTCTGTACGGAGCGCGCTGGACCAGGTCACGGTGGAGATCGAGAAGCTCCAGGCGCTGCGGGCGTGCCATCGGGAGGGGCCTTGTCGGGTCGGCCGAGATGAGGGGAAAGAGGCAGGCTGGGGTTACGACACCTGTTTCATGCGGCTGGTTTCGGTTCCGCCGCCAGGCGTTACTCCTCGATGCCCGAAAAGCAGCGAGAAGCCGCTGCGTGAGCGGATTCGCTGACCTCCCCTTCTCTGCCCCCGCTTTCGGACGCCCCGACAGCGGCAGAGGGAGAGAGAGAGAGAGAGAGAGAGCAGAGTCGTGGAGCTCACCCCATAATTCCAGGGGCTCCTGCGCAAATGGCTATCGAGACGGCTTCGGGACGGCTCTCGGACTGCGGAGGGTGTCCGAGATGCTGCGAGTTCGTGATTCGGGCAGCCTGCGTGCGGGCTGCGTGCTCCCCGCTTCCCCCCCGCCCCTCCCTCCCCCCGCCCCCCTCTGCCGTCTGTCCCTGCCGCCGGGCTTCTTCGACGGGTAAAAAGAAGTGTCCGAGACGCTGCCGGCAAGCGAATCACTCCTGGCGCGGCCGGCCCGGGCGGAAACAGGAGGCGCATGTGGCCGCATGCCGCTCTGGCGCTGCGCCATCGCGCGACGGGTTACGGTCGCCCTCCGTCTGTGCATTCGGCGCTTCGCATCCGCATGCTCCCATGTCAGGGTGCAACTGCGGGGAGGTTCACTGTAGCATCGGCGCTGGTAGACGTCGGCGGTCGGAAACAGGCCCAATTCGGCACCATCCAGATTCATGCCGCGTCGGCTAGCCCAATCTGGAGCTCAGTCAGGGCCACTCCGACGTGGTGTCCTCCGACTCGGGCGTGATCGCCTTCAACCGCTCCTCCGAAGACCTCCCGGGAGTGGCCTCCGCTGCAGATCCGAGGAGCAGCGGAGGCCGCTCCTAGCAGAGCGGCGCGGCGCACCTGTCGGGGTGAAGCTGGTGGTGCTCATGGCGAGCGCGTTCCGCTGCTCGCAAAGTGCCTCCTCGCAGACGTCCCGAACAAGGCACGTCTTCCTATAGGTACACCTTGTTCATGTCCAACTCTTCGAGAGCTCTTTGTTTTTTCGGGGGCCAAGATCCTTTCGTTTCTAACTGTTCTATCCTGGGCCTCTTCCTGGCCACCAGGGGGCCAGGAACCATCAGAAACGAGCACAATCAGAAACGAGCACGATCATATATGAACGACGCGGACTGGATCGTAAGCCCCCCTGCGGCGGATCCGGGCCACTTGCGAGCAGTTGCTCTGCGAGTCGCGGAGCGCGCAGGAGCCGTGGCCACTCCGAGGGCGCGCCTCTCGGGCAGCTGGTGGCACTCTTCCTGCCGGGGGCGGAGGGCCCAACCGCGGCGCCGCGGCACCCCCGCCAGACCAACGCCCAGCCATTTTCGGCCTCTCACGGGCGGGGCTAGGACCTAGGACAAGAAAAAGCACAGACACTAATGATCGTCGATTCCGGAAATGTGGGAAGTGGAGGGGAAGACGAACATCCAGAAAATGTTGGGAAATATTGGGAATCCTAGGATTTGTCCGTGGGCTCTTCAGTTAAGGGGGACCATCGGGCGGGGTTAGGACGAGGATAAAACCTTCTCTGAGCATTCCGGAACGCTCTCGGAGCGTTCCGGAGCGCTCTGAGAAGGCCGCGGCGCCCGAGACACCCTCCACAGAGCCGCCAGATTTCGGAGATTCTCGATGTCTCGACGTATCCTCAGCCGATGTCATCCTCTTCCTGGTTTCGTCTCGCCCTCCGCTGAGCCCTCGCAGCGGATCATGCCCTGTCGCGGGCTGATCCGAGGAGGGGGGGCCCTCGGGCGCGCCGGCAAGGAGGCGCAGGCGCTCTTGCGCACCTGGGCGCGCGGACACGCGGAGGCGCTCGCGGCGGCGCGCCAGAGCCTCGCGGCGACCCTTCAGCGGGGCAACGCCGATGCGCTCCGCTCCGCTTGCTTCGCTGCGCGCGGGGCGGTGCGCCGCGGGGCCGGCGGTGGCGAGCCGGCGGCGCGCCGCCCGCGCGCTAGCTAGACGTGCGCACGCGGTCCTGCGGCGCGGGCGCTGAGCACGGCGGCGACTCGCCAGGCGGGCCAGGCGGCTGGGCAGCGGCGGCGCGGGCGGCGCAGGCGGCGCGGGCGGCGTTGGCGCCGGCGGCCGCAGGGGACGCTGCACAGGGCGGCGACGCTGCCGGCGGAGGCGGGCGCTGCGCGCTTGCAGGAGTTGGCCGGGCTGCTGCGGCGGGGGGCCGGGCGGCGGCGCCGGCGCTGGGCGGCGGCCGCGCACCTCAACGCGCTGGGCCTCCTCGAGCTGGCGGCGCTGGGCGACCTCGGGCACCTCGCGCTCCCCTGCCGGGCGCTGGCCGCCGCGAGGGGGCCACTTAGCTTGCTTTCTTGGCGGTGCAGCGCCAGCAGGACCGCGGCGTCGTGCCCACGCGCTGGGGGGCCCGTTGGCGCACGCCGATCGGTGTCGGGCTGGCCATGGGCGTGACCGCCCAGTGCCGGCCCTGCGGCGCCGCGCGGGGCAGGGCGCCGCGGGGCCCCCGGGCAGCGGGCCAGGCGAGCGGCCAGGCCGAGGGCCAGGCGGGCCACGGCCCAGGCGGCGGCGGCGGGTGGCCCACTTCTCCCCTCCCCTCTCTTCCGCTTCTGCGCGCGCGCGCATGGAAGGATTGCTTCCTGCAGTTGCAGGTTCGAGAGACAATGAGACAGAGAGAGAGAGAGAGAGAAAAAACGAGAGAAAGAGAGGCGGATCTCTCTCTTTCTCTCTCTCTCTCTCTTTATATCTGGATGTGTCTATAGATGTATATATGCATGTATGTTTGTATGTATCTATGTATGTATGCATGTATGTATGTATGGATGTACGTATGTATGTATGTATGTACGCATGTATGTATGTATTTATTTATCTATGTATATGTAGACATAGATGCTTATGTATATATATAGATAGAGAGAGATTGGGAGAGAGAGAGAGAGAGATGGGGAAAGGGAGAAAGAGAACACAACAAAAGGTGGGAAAGAGAGAGAGAGAAGCAGACATAAGCAAACAAAACAAAACATGTAATCTGTATCATACATGGCACATACAACAATGAGGAGAAGATAAGGCCCCATCGTAGGCGGGACAGACCCAGAGCCCCACCCCGGCAGGCTGACATCGTCCGCAAGGAGCGGTGGGAGACACGCTGGGAGACCCGGCAGGACGTCGACACGATCGCTGGGCGCTTCGGCGAAGGCCCGTCAGCGGCGGCGCTTCCCTCCCGCGCCCATCGCCTGTTCAGCAGAGCTTGACCGGGCTCCGATATTCGAGCCGCCGCAAGTCAGTCGTCAGAGGAAAAAAGGGTACCGATGCGCCGTTGCCCTTCCTTCGTCTGCGCGATGTTCGTGGCCTCCTGGGGGGCCCTCGTCGTCGCGGCCGGGTTCGCCCCGAAATTCTGGTCAGAACGCGCCCCGGCTGAGGTCTGGGGAGTGGTTGTATCGGTACTTGCTGGTTCCCCCAAAGACGACATCGGCCCGCCCGTCCTGCTTTGGCTGGTGCTGTCCCGACACCGTATGCTGGGTTGCATCACTGCTTCCGCTATGTAAAACCCAGACCCAAACCACAGCTACGGAAGGAAGCGGCGTCGACTGCGCGTACATTCGCGCGTAAATTGTCTGCGTAAGGTCGCGCGTCAGCCTTCTCTTTTCCACGCGGTGTGCCACGCTGGCGGCCCGCGTAAGCCACCGCGTGAAGTTGCTATGTTATCGTATGTAAGACCTTTACTGGTGGGTTCCCTCCCCTCCTGCCTTTCTCCTCGCATCATCACCATCCTTATCGTCCACCTCTTCCTTTCCTCCCCCCTGCTTCCCTACCTCATGCTCCCCATCCTGCTTCTCTGCATGCTCTTCCTGTTGCTGTAAGTGTGGTTGTTGTGTGGCCGTGTTGGAGGCCCCTTTGGTACTTTTCGGGCGCATCTTTAACGTCCGTGCCATTCCTTTTGGTCGTCGTTGTCATTCGTTTCGGTCGTCAGATAAGGAATGAGGGGGGGGATTCGGGACGAGAGGGAAAATGGAGGATTGAGGGCGTCGTTCGTCGTCGGCATTCGTCGTTGCAGTCAGTCGCCAGCCGTCGACGTCGTCGTCCTCGTCATCGTGCTCTTTTGCGCGGGCGCCATCCCCTGGAGAGGCGACGAGGATAATGAGGTAAAGGTCGAGGAGGAGGATGAGAATAAGGGTGAGGATGACGATGATGCTGATGATGGGGGGGTAAGGATAAGGAAGACGGCACGAGGGGAAAAGAGAAGGATAATGTTGGCGGACGAGGGGGCGAGGGGGATGAGGAAGGTGATGATGCGGATTTTGATCATGATGATGATAATGATGATAATGATGATGATGATGATGATGATGATGATGATGATGATGATGATGATGATGATGATGATGATGATGATGATGATGATGATGCCGATGATGCCGATGCCGACGTCGATGTCAGCGATGGTGCCGATATTAACTATGATGATGATGCTGATGATGCTGATGATGATGATGATGATGATGACGATGAGGAGGACGATGATGATGCTCAGGATGTTGATGCTGATGGTGGTGATGGTGATGGTAATGGTGATGATGATGGTGATGATAATGATGATAATGATGCTGGTGCCGATGACGACGACGACGATTACCACAGTTGCGGCGAATGTGATGACTGTTGGCATGACGATGCTACGCTGATGCGGATGATGATATGAATGATAACGACGGAATCGACCATGCTGATGATGATGATGGTACATATGATGTTGACGGACGGTTATGATAATGGTGATGATGAACATGAGTTGACGATGATGATGCTGATGATGCTAATGATGATGACGACGACGATGGCGACGACGATGTGGAGGATGGAGAGGAATGCCGTCCTTGCGGTTCTCTTGGGCGTTCTTGGGACCTTGGTAGCGCCTTGAGCCAACATGGCTACAGACCCCTCCTCCTCCTCCCCCTCCTCATCCTCCTCTTAATGCTCCTCCTCCTCTCCTCCTCCTCCTCATCCTCCTCCTCCTGCTACTCAGGGTACCCATCCTCCTCCTCCTCCTCCTCCTCCTCTCCTCCTCCTCCTCCTCTTCCTCCTCCTCCTCCTCCTCCTCCTCCCTCGCCTCCTCCTCCTCCTCCTCCTCCTCCTCCTCCTGCCCCGCAGCCATCTTAGCTCAAGGCTCGGGCGCGCCACCGCGCGGGGGCGGTGCGGGTGATGCTGGGCGCGCCGCCCGACGCACCGGCTCCCCGCTGGCTGCGCGCCATCCGCTCTGCCGTCCGGGTGGAGGACGGCGTGGCCGTGGAGGCCCCTCCCGCGGGCGCGGCCGCACACCTCGCCGCTGGAGCAGCGCTCCCTCGTGCTCTGGCCCCCTGCGGGCTCTCCCACGCGCGGGTCGTGTTCGCCTCGCCGCTGGCGCCGCACGGCCCTTGCGTGGTCGTGGAGAAGGCGCTGGTGGATACAGGCTCCTCGGACTGCGAGCTGCGTGAGTGCCTCCTGCGGCGGCTGCCGCCGCTGCCCGTCGTCGCCAGGGGCGCCGTGTACGAGACGTCCACCGGCGGGGAGCCGTTTGACGCATACGAGGTTCTCATCACCGTTGGCGACCGCGCGTGCGCGGCCGTGCTGACCTGCAGCGACGAGTCCTCGTCGGACGACGCCCTGCTGGGGCACATGGCCCTCGGAGCCATGGGGCTGCGAGTGGACTGCCTCGCCCGGCAGCTCCTCCCGAGCGAGGAGGGCACCTTGGCAGACGCCTCTGAGGACGGCTTGCGAGGCTGCTTGGTGGCACCATCGCTACGCGGAGTCGACCAGTCGCCCTGCGGCAGGGAGGTCTGGGAGGACGGCCCCCTCCGCGCCGTGGGCGAGGTGCAGCGGACCAGCGCTCGCGCTTGGGACGCGTGGTGGCCGCCCGGCGACAGAGGCGCCCCGGCAGTCTTGCCGGGACCCGCGCCGCGCTGGCTCGGCAGCAACGCCTGCGCCGTGGCGTTGCGGGGCGCTCCCGCGGCGTTTCGAGGCGAGCACGGCGGTGCGGCTGGCAGCCGGCGGACGCCAGCGCAGCTGCCTGGCGTGGCGCGCGCGATCGTTCCCGTCACTTACGTGCGCTGCGCGTTCGCGTCGCCGGCGCAGCCCGATGGCGCCTGCGCTGTCGTGGAGCAGGCGCTGGTGGACACCGGCTCCGCCGACTGCACGCTGCGCGAGGCGCTCTTTCAGTCCCTGGGCCCGCTGCCCGAGTTGGCGCGGGGCACGATGTACGAGACCGTGCGGGGCAGAGTGTCGCACGACTCCTTTGAGATTCTCCTGACCATCGGCGGGCGCACGTGCGCGGCTGCGGTCACGGTGGCCCCAGAGGAGCGGTTCGCCGAGGACGCCGAGGACCCGAACACCGACCAGGCCATCATCGGCTACGCCGCGCTGGCCGCCCTCGGCCTCGTTGTGGACTGCTCCGCGCGGCGCGTGCTGGCCCGCGCCATCTGCGCCGCTGCCGAGTCGTGCGGAGAACAGAAAAAGGTGCCAGGAATCCGAATCTTGAGAGGTACGGTCGGGAACTCCTGGATAGCGTGTCGCTCCGTTCTGGCACGCCACGCTTCGGCGCGACACGCTATCCACTTCCAAGTCCCCAAGCGTCAACGTCCGAGCCTTTCCGAGCCTCCCGCCCCGCGGAGCGGAGCGACACGCCATCCGCTTGCGAGTCTGGGGCCGCCGCGGCGACACGCTAAGCAAAAGCGCCCGACCGTATCGAGGTGGCTCGGTTTCCGAGCCCTGTGCTGGCTGCTAGGAGGACGGGGGGGGGGCGAGGTAGGCAGAGGTGAAGGTCCTCGCGGGGTGTGGCCCACAGCGGTCCGTCTGCACGTTTCAGGTCTGCCTCGGGAGGAAGGAGGAGGGAGGAGGGAGGAGGGAGGAGGAGGAGGGAGGAGGGAGGAGGGAGGAGGGAGGAGGGGGAGGGAGGAGGGAGGAGGAGGAGGAGGAGGAGGAGGAGGAGGAGGAGGAGGAGGAGGAGGAGGAGCGCGGCCGAGCCGCGCCTTCCGGGTGCCGAGCAGGGGGGGCAGACGAGTGGAAGCGCTATACCTGCCTGCCCTGCAGCCGCGCGCAGTGGCCTGCGCGTCCCTCCCGATCGCTTGCCCCGAGAGCCCAGGAAATCGGGGAAGATATGGGGAGTCCTGTCATTTCTCCTCCTCCTTCTCCTCCTCCTCCCTTCTCCTCCCTCCTCCTCCTCCTCCCTCCTCCTCTCCTCCTCCCTCCTCCTCCCTCCTCCCTCCTCCTCCTCCTCCTCCCTCCTCCTCTCCTCCTCCTCCTCCTCCTCCTCCTCCTCCCTCCTCCCTCCTCCTCCTCCTCCTCCTCCTCCTCCTCCTCCTCCTCCTCCTCCTCCTCCCCGCCCCCCCCCGGCGCCCTCTGCGCGCGAGGAGTCCATTTATTTGCGTGTCCCAGGGCCCCTTGAAAACCCCGCGGATAGCATGGCGCAGTCTGCCTCTAGATCGGCTCTGCTGCGCCACCTGCACGGAACAGTCCATGAGCACCACGGGTAAGGCTTTTGGCACACACACACATTGCGCTGCCCGTAACTAGCTCGCTCCCGTGCTGCAGGGTAATTGGATTGCACGTCTCCCTGGGCACGGTCTCTCCTCCCCGTTCTCCTCGTCCTCGTCGTCCTCCTCCTCCGCTGTCTCTTAATTTTTTGCGAGATCCGCGCCCGTGCACCGGACCATGCCTGGACTCCCTTCAGGCCCGACTCCGACCTGGTACGGTGTATAGCCCTTGAGCTCTGAGAACAAAGCAATTCTGCACCTTTCGGTGGGGACGCGCATCAAGGAACTGAATGCTTTTCGTCAGGGTGCCATGGGTTTCTTCCCCATGCGCTGCGCTGTGAACTGCCGCGTTCAAGGAGCTGCTGCTTTCAGGGCTTTCTGGGTTCCCCCCCCGTGCGCGTCTCGCGCCTGCCGGTTTTCAGGGCTGTGGGGGGATTCCTGCGAGGCGTTCTCGCGGCCGCGTCCGCACGGCACCACTCCTGGGTCGAAGAGCAACGACGCCTCGCGAGAAGACAACGCCGGGCGGGGCTCGGACGAGGACCACTCTGTTCCAGAGGCCTCCTGGACGCTCTCAGAGCGAGCTGGAGCACTTTGAGAGGGCCGCGGCGCCCGAGACATCCTCCAGAGCCGCCGGATCTCACAGACTCTCGATTTCTCCTCACCGATCTTATTCAGGCGGGGGCAAAATCACGCAGTCACAGTTAAATGTCGGCTTTCATAACACATGTATGCGGGAACTATGGGAAGTGGGGGGGAATACGAAAACCCAGAAAGCATGAGAAGATATGGGGAATCCTGGGATTGGGGCCTACGTATTTGTGCGTCCCTGGGCCCCTTCATTGATCTTGGTGCTGGTCTCGTCTCAGTACACATGGTTCATTCCTAATTATTCGAAAGTTCTTTGATATTTTTGGGGGCAAGATTATTTCATTTCTAATCGTTCTATCTATCCTGGGTCTCTTCCTGGCCACCAGTGGGCCAGGAACAGTTAGAGACGAGCACAATCAGAAACGAGCACGATAGGAACTGAACGACGCGTCGGTGCACACAGGTCGGCCGCGTGCGCTTGCCTCCCTCGCGTGCCTGGGGGGCCCGCGGGCGCGGGCGCGGAGGCATCGACTGCGCGTAGACACTTTTCGTTCCTAATTCTTCGAAAGTTATTAGATTTAATCGCTTCGCTCATTCCGCCGGCCCGTATTGTGCCCTCGTTGGCGTTTGGTCTTTGGGGGGCCTCTTGGGGTCCTCGTTGGGGGTTTCTTGGGGGCCTCTTGAGTTTCTGTTGGAGCCTCCTTGGGGTTTCTTGGAGCTCTTTTGGGAGCATTTAGGAGCATCTTGGGGCTTCTGGGAGCCTCGTGGGGCGTCTGGGGGGCTATCTCGAAGGCCTTTGGGGGGCCTCCTGGGGCTTGAAAGGGGCCTCTTGGCGCCTCCTGTGGGCTTCTTAGGGCCGAGGACTCGAAATGTTGTTTCATGTTCCCCCTCTGGGTCTTCTCTCAGAGCGTTTTTGTGGCCCTCTTGGGCCGTCTTGGAGGCCTCTTGGGCCGTCTTGGAACCCTTTTGGGCCGTCTTGGGGCCCTTACGGAGGCCTCTCGGGCCTTTTAGGGCGATCTTGGAGGCCTCTTGGGCCGTCTTGGGGCGTCGCGATACCGAAAAGGTGGAGACGCCAACATCTCCCCCAGACCTAAGGAAAAGCAATGAATTGTGCCTCTTGGGGCCCTCTTGGGGGTGTTCTTGAAAGCCTCGTGGGGGCGTCTGGGGGGCTATCTCGAAGGCATTTGGGGGGCCTCCTGGGGCTTGAAAGGGGCCTCTTGGCGCCTCTTGTGGGCTTCTTAGGGCCGAGGGCTCGAAATGTTGTTTCATGTTCCCCCTCTGGGGCTTCTCTCAGAGCGTTCTTGGGGCCCTCTTGGGCCGTCTTGGAGGCCTCTTGGGCCGTCTTGGAACCCTCGTGGGCCGTCTGGGGGCCGTGTCGGAGGCCTCTCGGGCCTCTTAGAGCGATCTTGGGGGCCTCTTGGGCCGTCTTGGGGAGTCGCGATGCCGAAAAGGTGGAGACGCCAACATCTCCCCCAAACCTAAGGAAAAGCAACGAATTTTGCTTCTTGGGGCCCTCTTGGGAGTGCTCTTGAAAGCCTCATGGGGCGCCTGGGGGCTATCTCGAGGGTCTTTTGGGGGCCCACTGGGGCTTGAAAGGGGCCTCCTGGGGGCTTCTTAGGGCCGAGGGCTCGAAATGTTGTTTCGTGTTCCCCCTCTGGGGCTTCTCTCAGAGCGTTCTTGTGGTCCTATTGGGCCGTCTCGGAGGCCTCTTGGGCCGTCTTGGAACCCTCTTGGGCAGTCTTTGGGCCTTGTCGGAGGCCTCTCGGGCCTCTTAGGGCGATCTTGGAGGCCTCTTGGGCCGTCTTGGGGCGTCGCGATGCCGCAGAGGTGGAAGCGCCAAAATCTCCCCAAAGCCTAAGGAGAAGCAATGAAGTTTGAATCTTGGGGCCCTCTTGGGAGTCTCGGGAAAGTGTTAGTGGGAGAGACGCAGTTCGAAATGTAGTCAGAAGACGGATATGAGAAGCAGAGCAGGGAGGAGAGGAGAGAGGAGGGAAGGGGAGGGGAGAGGAGGAGGGATATGAGCCTGTCGCAGATGCTCGCAGCAGGCAACACGGTGGAGCGCGTCGAGCGGGTCCTCAAGACGGTATTGGTCGGAGCGGAGCAGGAGCGCGAGCGGCTCGAGCAGCTATTGAAGCGCCAGGCGAGGAGTATCCATCCTTCCCCTCCTCCTTCCCCCTCATCCCTCCTCATCCTCCCTTCTCACCCTCCCTCCTCATCCGCCTCCTTCCCTCCCTCTTCTCACCCCTCTCCTCCCCACTGTTACACATTAGGAATCGTACTCCCTTCTTTCCCGTGGCTTTGTCTGAAGGAGGTCTGGCCCTCTCCGCGTATGTCTGTCACGCAGGAAATCCAACATTGAGTTTGTCCGTAGGGCTTCGTGCAATCCGAGTGTTTCTGGTGGTTCAAAATGGTGTTCCCGTTGCAGCGTTGGCCTCATTTTCGGATCGGCGTTTTGCTCCCATCGTGCAGCGTGGCGCTCTCGCCCCAGCGCGGGCTTTTTTTCTAGAGCTGAGTCCTCTCTCATCGCTGTCGCCCGTTCGTTTCCCCTCCGCCTTCCCCTGGTCCTCCTGCTCCTCCCGATCTTTTCACTTAAGCTCCTGCTGCTGCTGCTGCTGCTGCTGCTGCTGCTGCTGCTGCTGTTTGTCCTCGTCCCCCTCGCTCCTCACCCTCTTTTTCCTCCTGTTCATCCGCCTCCTCCTCCTCTTCCTCCTCCAATGTATGCAGTTCCCGTTTGATATTTGATTGCGCGTAATACGGAGAGGTCATCTTTAGAGTTCCAGGTCCACTATAACATGCGCCGGCGGATAGAGAAAAACAGCGCAATGGAAAGGGATGGGTGGGAGGGGTAGGATGTCAGATCAAGTTAGCCAGCTCGAACGAGCCAGAGGGCTCCGTCCACTCCCACCCGCCCTCCCACAACATAAGAAGCAAGTGCGTCGCATCCGGCGCCTGTCGTTCATCTTATATCGCGGGCGGTTCGACGCTCAGCGCGCGACATGAGCTGCGTCCGATTCCTGCCGCGCATTGAGCATCGTCGACGGGAAACAAGACCGCGCGCGACATACGCCGCGCCCCGCTCGGGCCTCTCATGTTGCACCGTCGGCGACAACATGTCTAGCGTGCGAGGTGCGCCGCGTCTCACTCCAGCCACGCGCGGCCCCTGCTGCGCATGGAGGAGGGAGGAGGAGGAGGAGGAGGAGGAGGAGGAGGAGGAGGAGGAGGAGGAGGAGGAGGAGGAGGAGGAGGAGGAGGAGGAGGAGGAGAGGGAGAGAGGGAGAGGGGGAGGGAGGGAGAAACTGAGGAGTAGGAGGAGGAGGAGGAGGATGCCTCTTGGGAATTCGCGGGGCGTCCTGGGAGTTTTCTTGTATGCGCCTGAGCGCGACGCGCAGAAGAAGCCCCGGGGCGAAGGAAGGACCGCGCGCTTGCCCCCGCTGAGCCAGAGCGGCTCGGGCAAGACGCGCGCGGTGTAGGGGGCCCTCTTCCCAGTCGTAGAGCGACGTGGCCCTCGCCGGCGCCGGACAGCGCCGCCGCGGCGGTCGCGGCTTTCTCGTGCGCGCAGACAAAGAATATCCCCGCGGCGACGGCGAGGGCCAGGGCGCTGCACGACGCCTGCGCCCTGCGAGTCCAGAAGTGCATCGATGCGAAGCTGAGGCCTGGGAGCACGCGGAAAGCTGAAGCGGTTGTGGGAGCGCGCCCGCGCTCTTGCCATCGAGGGGGCGAGCGCGGCGGCGGCAGCGCTGCGCAACGCGCTGGACCATCGTCTGCGGATGCAGCGGCGCACGCGACGCGCGGGGGCCCGCGTGCAATCGGCCTCGCCACTATTTCGGGCGCGCCCCCGTCGCGTTCCAACTCGGCGACTTCTTGCGGCTGAAGACTGCCAGCAGCATCGGTCTGCTGGCGGACGCGAACGAGCTCTTGGGCGACGGGTCGCACTTGTGCACGGAGTCGCCGACGGTGGGGATTCAGCACGCCATCGAGGCGTTCGCCAAGATCCCTTCCGTCTTCGAGCTGAAGGGCGCGAAGCGCTTCGAGCCTGGAGGCCCTCTCATCGCCCCCCTTCGCCGCGCGCGCGAGGGCAGGCGTTTCCCGCCAGAGGTCTGGCCCGCATGGGGGGACTTCAGCTTCGGATAGCAGCGGCGCGCTGGACCTTCGGCGCCAGCCCGAGAACTTGCGGCTCGGCTACAGCATGGGCATCTACCGGGAGATGCTGGCGAGGTGGATCAACGCGAGCACTCGTCGCGACGAAAGACGTCTCGGCGCGCCTGAGCGCGACCATGCAGGCCGCGGACGAGCGCGGCGCGATCCACGGCGATCCCGGCGCAAGTCGACGCCTCGCGAACGTCACCAACACGCGCGCGACGGGTGACATCCGCGACGTCTTGCCGGCGCGCGTCTGCGCGGAGGTTCGGCCCACGGCCGCGCAGGAGGAATTGCTGAGGAAGTTGGGAATCGCGCAGAAACAACGGGCCGCCGTCGCGCCCTTCGAGTTTCGCCCAGGCGACGAGCGGGACTGCGAGGAGCGCCCGCTCAGCCAGCTCAGTCGCCCCGCTACCTCCCGCAGGGAATTTGGATGCAGCCGCGCGGCTTCAAGGAGTCACCAACCTTCCAGGAGGTTGCCAAACTGCTGCTACAGGGCGACGCCGACGGCGCCTTCGACGACGGCCAGGTCACGGCGCGGGCGCGAAGATCGCTCATGTTCAGGCCCAGCGAGTAGGGGCTCGCGCGGCAGAGCTCGGGGCCGCACGCCGCGCGCCGTTCGGGGTTTACCTTGGCTCGCGCGTCCTATCTGACCTCCGCGCCGTCGCAGGGCCAGATTCTGCGCAAGGGCGCCACCATCGACTGCGCCAAGGATGAGAGCGCTGGCCGCGTGGGCATGTCGGACGACTAGCGGTGGCTGCACCTCTACGTCGTGTTCTCACGCGCCACGCGCATGCGGAACATGCTGATCCCGCGGCCGCCCGCGCGGGGGGTCCTGGAGCGCGGGCCGTCAGCGCCCCCGCGAGAGGCGCTCGGGGACTTCGACAGGAGAGCGGACGGCTGCAGGGCTAAGGCGGAGCAGCTCGCGGCAGAGGTGGGCTTCGCGTTGCCCCCCACCTGAGCGCGGCCGCGACAAGCTCGAGACCTGCGGGGTTGCGCCGGCGGCTGGCCTCCCGCGCCCCGGCAGTGCGCGGGGCTGCCCCGACGGCCTATAGGCATCGCCCCAACAGCTTCGAGATCCGGCCATCGGGGCGCGCGCGTTTGCTGGCAGCGGCGGCGACGGCGCCACGGAAAATCGACGCGCCCCGGCCAGGGGGCAGGAGAGGTGCGCGGGGAGACGGCAGGAGAAGGATAAGAGAAAAAGAGTGAGGAGGATGGCAAGGGGAAAGAGGCGGAGGAGAGGGACGAAAAGGGGAAAAGGGCGAGGAGGAGGACGAGGGGGAGGAGGGGGGAAAGGAGGGGGAGGCTCCAGGGGAGGACGATAAGGAGGGGAAGATTGAAGGCGAAAATGACGAGGAGAAGGAGGAGGAGGCGCAACGGAAAGCGGGAGGAGGGCCTCCGCCAAAGCGAACGCGAAAAAACGACGGGCAAACTAAGTCGATTCCCGAGTGTGGTCTTACTGGCGGAGTAATGTACTGGCGTTTGGCGGGAGTGGTGGGAGTGTCGGCACGTTCGCCGGCTTACCTCCCGTCGGGTGGGTGGGCTGGTGTTTGGTAGCCGGGAGCATGATGAACATCAAGCTGCCCCCCCACAGACGACGGCCGTTTCGTTCGCCCCCACCCTCCCTCCCACCACAAGAAAAACCTTCCGAGTCTCACGGGCCGGGGCCCCCATCGACAACTATCGGGAACCAACGCAAGCGCAAGGCAGGTGTTCGACGCCAGCGAGATGCGCAGCACGTGCCAAGCCCCCCCCCGCCCCCATCATATTTTCCAAAGGCATGAGGGTCGCGGGGCGCCAGCGCATGTTCCAAAATTTTGCCGCAATGCGGGTTTCGAACAAGGTGTGTACAGGCACGGTGGGCTTGCACGCTTGCGGCAGTATGCGCCCCGCCTCCTTTCGCCCCTGTCGAAACATATGCAGATGGAGGGATCCCACATGAGATCCCTGTTGATGTGCATCAAGTTCACCCACACCGAGCACGAACGGTAGTCGGGATGTTCAAATGCGAGGATACCAGGACGCGCTGTGTGGGACTTTTGCTGCATGTTGGGCCAGTGGAAAGTGTGCGACCTGTGGGGGGTGCGGGACCTGCGGGCCCCCATAGGGAAGTGGGCTCCCGCTCGAGACTTCCTCGCTAGAATTTACACACTCACATACGAAACCCTCGCTCGAGATATCCTCACGATTTGCACCACGGGGGTGCTCAAATGTATTGCCCGCTGCAGTCGGCCAATGGCCCGCGCGGGTTGCTAACATGAGTTGCGGGCCCCATAAGGAGGGGGGTCCCGCCTGAGACTCCTTCGCTATGCATTCACAGACGAGGCCCCCAGTCAGGGTATAGGCTTCGAAACTTCAAAAACAAGCGAACACGCATGCGACATCCATCGGTCAACGCCTTCTTTTCCCCCAATGTTCAAAATTGGCGGTGGGTCTGATGATTTGCACTTCAACCGCAGTCTCCCCCGCGCGTGCCAACTTTGAGTTTGGGGGAGCGGGGGGGGGTCCAGTAACTGTTTCCACCTACCGTTTCCTCACGCTTTGCGCCCCTCAAGTGCCATGCCTGTTCCAGTAGGCCAATGAATCGCTCGGATTACTGACATGTGCTGTGGGCTTCAAAGGGAGGGAGGTCCCGCCTGAGACTTCCTCGCTATGCATTCACAGACGAGGCCCCCGCTCGAGACATCCTCACGCATTGCTCCCTTGGGGTGCTCAAGTGTCACGGCTGCTACAGTCGGCCAGTGACCCGTTCAGATGCCTAGCATGATCTGCGGGCCCCAGAGGGAGGGAATTCTCGCCTGAGACTTCCTCTCGACGCACTCACAGGCGAGGCCCCCGCTCGAGACATCCTCGCGAGTTGCGCCTTTGGAACGCTCAAGTGCTACGCCTACTACAATAGCTCGGACTCTCGATGACCTGCACGGATGACACACATGAGCTGCGGGCCCCATAGGGAGGGGGCTCCCGCTTGAGATGTCTTGCGCAATTTCGCGCAAACGAGGCCCCCGCTCGAGTCCTTTCACAATTTGCCCCCTGGCGTGCTCAAGTGCCACGACTGCTCCAATATTCAGATGACCCGTTAGGATTGCTAACATGAGCAGCGGGCCCCGCGGGAGGGGGAGCCCCCGCCTGAGACTCCCTCGCACATTGCTCACAGACGAGGCAGCCGCTCGAGAGATCCTCACGCTTTGACCCCTTGGGGTGCTCAAGTGCTACGGTTGCATTGCACCAGTGACCCGGCCGGAATATTAACATAATCTGCGGGCCCCATGGGGAGGGGCTCCAGCTTGCGACTTCTTCACACATCACTCGCAGACGAGGCCCCCGCTCGAGGCAACCTCACGATATGCCCAATTACGGTGCTCACGTGCTATGTCTGCTACAACAGGCCAATGTCCCGCTCGGATTACCAATATGAGCTGCGGGCCCCATAGGTCCCCGCTGAGACTTCCCCGCAATTCACTCACAGACGAGGCCCCCGCTCGAGACATCCTCACGCTTTCCCCCATTGGGGTGCACGAGTGCTACAGTAGGCCAATGACCACCTCGGATTACTAACATGAGCTGCGTGCTCAGGAGGGAGGAGGCTTACTAACATGCGAGGCCCCTGCTCGAGGCATCCTCACAATTTGCCTCCCGTGGGGTGCTCAAGTGTTATGTCTGCTGCAGTGGGCCAATGGCCCGTTCAGATTGCTAACATTAGCTGTGGGCCCCACAAGGAGGGGGCTCCCGCCTGAGACTTCCTCGCAATTCATACACACGAGGCTCCCGCTCGAGACTTCCTTAAGGTGAGTGTGTGAGTGTGTGGGTACGTGAACGAGTCTGATGATGATGATGATGATGATGATCATGATCATGATCATGATCATGATCATGATTCTGATCATGATGTTGATGATGATGGTAATGATGATGAGGATCAGCATCATCATGATAATAATGGCGTGGATGACGGTGATGATGGTGATGATGGTGATGGTGATGGTGATGATGATGATGATGATGATGATGATGATGATGATGATGATGATGATGATGATGATGATGACGGTCGCCGGTAGATGCTCATGGTGGGATGGTGATTGTGTTGATGATGCCAATTGTGATACATTGTGGTGTGCGATGGTGATGCATGATGAGGGGATGATCTTGATGATTGTGATGATGGTGATGATGATGATGGTGGTGGGGATGACAATGATGATTGTGTGTTCCTCTATTTTTGGTTCCTGTGCGGGGTGTCCAGGGAAAATCGAAAAAAAACACTCAGGAGGTGGGTTACAGCACACCGTGGGGCGCTCGACCAATCTTGCATCTTGTATAGTTCTTGTTGACAGGGATGGTGGGGAGGGGGATGTCATGGTTTCAGGTTTTCCGCCAGTCATTGCTGCCGGTCAGGTGGGGGAGTGGGTATGCATCAATGAGGAGTAGTGTTGAGCCCCTCCCCGAATAGAGGAAGTACGGGTTTTGGAAGAGGAACGAGAAGAACCGTCATACCATCTCCGCCCAAAGGGCTGGCGGGATTTGGCCGCCCCGCCCAATGTGTGTCTTCGGCGTATTCCTGGGACCTTGGGGCGGAGCTCGTCCGTGGTCCTGGAGCGGCATCTGAGCAACGCAAACAAAAACGGGTTCGATTGCGCCGACATTGGCGCGTAAGTTGTTCGCGTAAGGTCGCGCGTGAGCGCCCTCGCTCACAGCGTAGCGTGCCGCTCTGGCGGCCCGCGTCAGCCACCGCGCCTCGGGCGTGCACCGCGAACTCCCGCCATGTATCGCCTCCAGCGGCGCCGAAGAGCTACGCGCCGCGCGGCGGCGCGTGAAATCCCGCCTTCGCGGCCCAGCGCGGGCCCTGGCCCCCCCCCCCCGCCGCCAGCCCCCCGCCCTTTCCGAGCATTTTCATTGGGTGGAGGGCAAAGGGTGAAATTTCAAGTGCCGTTTTGACTGATTTTCGAGGTTTGAATCTGAAAAATCTGAATCAAAAGACTGATTGAATTTCGAGGTGCAGAAGCCCATATGGATTTCACCCTGAGCCCTCCACCCCAAGAAAATGTTCAGCCTTCGTCGGTGGCGCGCCCGGGGGGAAGGCAGCGGAGGCGGGCCTCGCCAGAGGGCCCATGGCGGCCTCCAGCCTTCCGGGAGGCCTCCGAGGATTTTTCGCCGACGGCACGGACAGGGCTCCTCGGGAGGCCCCGAAGGCTGCCGCCCCACCGCCCTCTGTGAGGCGGCCTGCCCCCGTCTCGCCCCCTCCTCCCCCTCCTCCTCCTCCTCCTCCCCTCCTCCTCCTCCTCCTCCTCTCCTCTATCCTCCTCCTCCTCCTCCTCTCCTCCTCCTCCTCCTCCTCCTCCTCCCCCTCCCCCTCCCCCTCCCCTCCCCCTCCCCCTCTTTCTCCTGTTCCTCCTCTTTCTCCTCCTCCTCCTCCTCCTCCAGGCGCGCCGCCGACCTTCGCCGCCGCTTCCGCCTGCAGGCGGAGCTGCAGGGCATCGGCGGAGACTCCGCGCTGGGCAAGGCGCCGCCGCGGGCGCAGCGCGCGCCCAGGGGCGCCCACAGAAGTGCGCGACCATGTGCGAGCTCTACCCCTGCGGGTCCACTGGGCCCTGAGAACCGGGCGGCGTCATATTGTCACGCGGAGCGCTTTTCGCCCCGTGTCGGGCCCAGGGGCCTGCGCACACCGATCCGGCTCGAAAAGTCCAGCAGGGCGATGGGCCCAAGGGCTCAGGTCGTATTTTTGTCGCAATGTCGGAGCTCAGAGGGCACTGGCATATCGGACACCGGGCACCCCCGCTGGGGTTCGCTTGGCTGCAGACATGCCGTCCTGCAGATCCTGCACCCCAGGCAGTTTTTCAGAAGTCTGACCTGCAGCGGTGGAGTTCAAGTGTCGTTGCCAAAGAATGGGCGGCTAGCCTTCGGCAGGGCTCCCCGGCGACTACGTTCTCAGGGGCAACGTTCGGGGAAATAGTCTCAGGGGGGGGGTGCCTCGACCCCAGTGGACCATGCATCGCCGATAGGGGCCTGATAGCCCACACTAGCCCGGGAACGTGCGGTTTGGCCATCGGGGGCCTGTCGCCGATCTATCGGCGATGACCGCCGATTCCACGTCGATGTCTACCCTCTTGAGCCGGTTCCCCTCCTCGTTCCCCTTCAGCGGGTCTCGCGCCAGGGGCCGTTGTCTGCATCAGCCTGGGGCCCGAGAGGGCTTCCCGCCCGGTGCCCAGATCTTGGAGCGCTGTGACACGGTCAGGAATTTTTGTGTGTCGCTCTGCTGGTTCTGGCCCACCACGCTGCGGCGCGACGCGCTAGCAACGTCCCCGATGCGGTTCGCCACCGTCTGGCAGACCCAGCAGTCACAGGAAGAAGCGCGGCGCCACCACCGCACCCATAGGAAGTGCAAGTTGGAGGAGGAGGAGGAGGAGGAGGAGGAGGAAGAGTAGGAGACGGAGGAGGACGACGACGAGGAGGAGGAGGAGGAGGAGGAGGAAAAAGAGAGAGAGAGAGAGAGAGAGAGAAAGAGAGAGAAAGAGAGAGAAGGGGAGGGAACAACCCAGTGATTCCGCAGAAGAGTTTCGGCTGGGTCCGCTGGGCCCAACTCACGACTGCAAAGTCGTTCAAGTCGCAGGCCAACTCGCTTATGCAGGGTGATATGGCCAGTAGGACTTGGGACGCGCGCCGCATTTGATGCACTGTTCCTGCCACGCGGCTGGATGTCCGACGCTCGCGTGAAAGGGAGGCGCGGCCGCAGGAGAAAAATGAGGGGCCAAGGGCCAGCCCGAGCTTTCGAACCTCCTGCACGAGCCCCCAGGACGAGGAGGAGGAGGAGGAGGAGGAGGAGGAGGAGCGGAACGCTGCGCCTCTCGAGCGTCTCCCGCCAGCCGGGCTGGCGCGCGCCCGACGGACTACGCCGAAGCGCCCTCACGCCACGATGGCGGAGAGGGCAAGGTTGAAGAAAGTGTGGAGGAAGACCCACTTGCAGAAGAAGAGGGTCAGGGGCGCGTCGACGCAGGCCAACCTGCCGTCGACGAAGCAGGCGTCGCCGCCGAAGAAGACGCCGTGCCACCAGCCGACCACGGAACGGCAGTGAATCACGACATGGTCGATCATCGCGCCGCGTGGCTGCGAGAGGGGCCACCCTGCGGGAGCTGCGCCGCTGGGGTACGTCGGGCACGAGGCGCCAGTCCCTTCTCGACGCGCCTGGTCGCACCTTGCTGGTTGCGGCGCGTGGACTCGTTGGGCGAGAGCCCTTCGCACCTCAAGCCAAGCTTCCGCGCTGCGCGGACACCGCCCGCAGCACAGTGGGACCCGCAGCGTCTACAACAGTAGACATCATTGCCCCTGAACACGTTGTGCCCGCGCGCGGCGAAGGCGCCCCCCACCTCCTCGGCCAGGGCAGGTGGGACCAAGGCCGCGGGAGTCGAGGGCTGCGAGCCCCCTTCGAGCGCCAAGGCCGCGCCCAGGGCCATACCAGCCCTTTGGCCGCTGCAGAAGACCCAACCCTCGCCGAAGGTGCGGAAGTACTCGGCGTTTAGAGCTCTGACAACACGCGAAGGTCGACGTGCACGCTGAGGGCCAATTTGCAGCGAATCGAGGGAGGAGCCAGTTGCGGCCGTGTCGCCGCGCTGGGTACATCGGTACCGCCCGAGGCTGGCACAGTAATCAACGACATGGTCCGTGCTTCGTGCCACCGCAATGGGCCTGGCTTGCTCGCAAGGTGGCCTGGGGACCTCAACGTCGTATCCCAATTGTTCGCGAGCCACCACCTGCAGTGCCGCCCACGAAATGAACTGCAGGACCTTGCGGTGCTGTTTCAGCGCAGCAGTTGCCGCCTCGGCAACCGACCCAGCCAGCGCGAGAGGCCGCACCGCAGCGCGCGAAGTAGTCTGCCCAGCCGTTGCCTAGCCAGTCACGCAACTCCAAGGACCTGTGCGCAGGCGTCCATCGGATCCTGGGAGGGCCCCGCAGAGTGCGTCTGCGGCTGGCCACGCAGTTGTCCCGCCACGCTCTAGCACGCTTGGCACGACCCTTCTCGAGCTCGGGGCACAAACGCTCTCCTTCCTGGGCGAGCTCCAGCAGGTCAGTGGCGAAGCATTGGTGGTCAGGAAAAGCGTCGAGCCCCCCCCCTGATCGCGCACCTCTCAGCGCGGCCAACAGTCTGCATCAATTACGGGAGGGGCCCGAACCGCGCCCTAATTGGGAGCCAGGAGTAAGGATCAAACTGCACAACAGTTTGTGCACACCTCCGCACCTCGGGAGCACCTGAGTCGTAGCCAGACCCGTCGGTGTAAGAAACGGGGCCCCAAACGCCATGGGCGTCGCCCCATAGGCAGACATCATGCCTCCGCGTGTCTGCGCGTGGCAGATAGGCGGGAGGCTCGGGTATACCGAAGACGAGGTAGGACTGCTCGACATTCGGCGTGCCTGATCCAATACCCGCTTGTATAAGTTGGTCGCGCACCTCAGCCAGCACTTGGGGGAGGTGGAAGATACCGCGGCATGATGCATCAGGCGCCGAGGTTGGAGCCGCCGCCGCAGGGGACAGCAGGTCACTCCGTTCCGAAGCAGCCGGTGGCGCACAGAGGACACTCTGCGCGTCTAGCCGCACCACCTCCTGATGGCCGCCGTGCCCATCGGGTGGCCCAAAGTCGACCTCTTTGTCAACCCCTTGCCCGACGCCAAGAAAGAAGTCGTTTTCGGCCCCCATGGCGCTGTGGTGCTGGGCGCAGGTGTAGGACGGTGGGGTCGGGTCGGCCGGACTCTGGAGGTGGTCGTGAGCCTGCTGGTGCAGGTCGCCTAGACCCTGCTGTATTTCAGGGGCCCTTGGACATGGTCCAGGGCCTTGGACATGGTCCGTCGGCTCCTGCTCCGTAGGTCGCATTTCCCCTTCGGGGGGGCGGGTCAGCAGCGCAGGACATTTCAAGAATACGTGGCCCCAGCATTCATCGGGCGCAAGGGCCTTCCCGCAAGCCTGGCAGGGACGCATGGGCATGCCGAGCTTCATGTCCCTGCGGATCGGCATGGGTATGTTGTCAGACCATAGCGCCTGCAACGCTCCCAGCTGCCTTGCCGCACGGACACCCTTGACCGCATACCTGAACCCACGGTTCCAGATCGGCGCGCCAGCGTGGGAGTACATGTAGCTGGTGAGGCGGCCATGCTGCCAGCGCTGCACGCCTTGCACCAAGAAAGGTCGCAGGTCAACAGGGCGCACGCGGTACAGGTCACATTGGTTGCCCAAGTCGTCCTGCAACATGTGCGACGCTTTCATGTCCCAGGCTAGCCGCCTGAGCGTCAGCCGCGTCGCGGCCAGCGGACCTTTCGCATTGGCCCAACTGATTGGGACAGCCCGTTCATGGAGCGCTGTCCAAGCCCTTTGAAGGCGGCTAGGTGGCGCGCGCCCATCCCACATCCAGGCGGCGTAGTTCAAGATCAGGTCCAGCGTGGCATGATAGATGGGATCGTACTCCTCCGAAGGGTGCGTAAGGAGGTATGCCGTGACGCCCACATGGTGTTTGTCACTGCGCCCGTTTAGTGCCGCGGCCAAGTTGCGCATTTCGCGTAGGGGCGCGTCCGCCAACCCCGACACTCCAGCCCCGTGCCCTGCGGACGAGGAGGAGGAGGAGGAGGAGGAAGAGGAGGAGGAGGAGGCCAGTGGCGGCGGTGGCAGTTTCAGGCGGCCGCGGGCGGCGAGGGAGAGGGGTGGGCGAGGGGGGGGGGCATGCAGCAGCGTGGCAGGGGAGACGAAGAAGGGAGATGCACAGGCGCAGCTCGGCGGCACCGCATTCGATGGGGTACGAGTTCTGAGCAGGCTTTGGCCTGCAGCAGAAAGGAGAGCAGCAGATGGGATCGTCGTGGAGGGCAGGGAGCGTTCGACGATGCAGGGGGAGGGCGTGGCAGGCGCGAGAGACCACCGAACTCACAGCTCCTCCCAGCCCAGTCGCCCACCTGGTGGCGGGCGAGTCTGCTGGCCGTGACCTGCGCGTCGTGGGCCACGCATTGTCCCAGCCTCGACGACTTCTGTCCGCGAGAAGGCTCTTGCCTTCCTGAGCTCCAGCACGGCACGGCGAGGTCACGGTCGTTGCATTGGTTTTGTCGAAGCTGTGATGACCTCAGGAGGGAACACAAACACACAGACACAATTAATCGTCGATTCCCGAGAACATATGGGAAAATATGGGAACTGGGGCGAAGATAAAAACCCAGAACAGATTGGACAATATGGGGCTTCCTATTCTTTGTGTCTATCTGTTTGTGGGCGAATCCACGGTGCACAGCGAGAGCAACAGCAAGCAAAGCTGGCGGCGCAAGACAAACGGTGGCCGCCGCATGCATCACCACCATTATGACAACTGTCACCCCGGTAATCCGACTTCGAGCACGACCATCCGTCATTCGAGGTCTCTGCGGTAATGAGTCCAAGCGCTGACCAAACCACCACCCCAGACACAATCTACATTCAGCTCCCTCCCGATTGCCCGATTGGACGTTCATAAAGAATTGGCACAAAGAGTGCACTCGAGAGGAAGATATACAAATGTATATATACATGTAGAGGGAGAAACACATAACAGTGTAAACCAGTAAATATACAAGTGAGTACAGACACAGAGAGGGATATGGACCGAATACCTAGACATGTAACAACGGGGTGCGGGGGGATGTGTACATGCAAATGTGTATATGCGGGGGCAGCCTCGCGCCTGGGAAGGGCCAGTGGAAACTGCTCGAAGAGGCGAGGGCGACCAGGCGCCCGAAAATCTTCCACCTTCAGCGGGCTGTGGCGCGGAGGGCCTGTCCACAGCCCGTCATCCTGGTCAGCCATCCTTCGGGGCTGCGGAGCCCCTGCGGCCCCGACCGCCCCGACCTGCATCAACGCCGCCTCCGCGGCCGCGGCCGCCGTCGGCAGCGCCCCGGCCGCCTCCGGCGTCGGCGCCATCTGCTGCGGGCCGCAGCTGGCGCGCCCGCATGCTCTCGATCTCGGCCCGCCCCCCCAGCTTGGTCACGGCCCCGTTCCCCGGGACAAGGGCGACCGCGTCGTCGTAGCCCGCCTCGCCCTCGCACGCGGTAATCATGCGCCCAGAGGGCAGTCCGCCATCCACCGAGTAGGCGTCGATCACCCCGAGCCTCCCCCCGACCGTCTCCTCGATGTCCGCGGAGGCCCCGAGCATGAGCTGGTCGTTCTCCCCGAACAGCTTGAAGCTCTCCGTGAGCGTGACCCTCCCGTGGTAGACGCAGCTCGTCCTCGTGGCGTTGTTGGGGCGAGCGCATTCCCGCCGCCAGCGCCGCGGGTCGCCAGCGCAGCGTCCGACGTGCAGATCGAAGTGCAGCGCGCCAGGCGGGCCCTGGGCCTCCACGGCCGAGATCGGCCCCCCCCCTGCTTTCCTGCACCGCTTTCTCCTAGCCCTCGAAGCTCCCCCCAGCCTCGTCGCAGTCGACCCGCAGGGCGAGAACGCAACCGCCCGAGAGAGGGGGCGGTTCGTCGGGGCGACGAGCAGCCGCGACTGAGGGGCCCGCAGCGTCGCGCGACACCGCGTAGCGTGACTTCAGCTCCTTGTCAAACTTATCGCGGTCATGGCTTGACATCGCCTGCGCCCGCAACGAACTCCCGCGCCTGTCGACCAGGCCGTCCGCCGACGTGATGATGACGCCGTCATCGCGAGGGGTGACCTCCATGCCCAGCGTCTCGTGCCCGTCAGCGTTCTCGGTCACCAGCCGCGCCGGGCCATCGCGAGGCGCGGGGCGCTCAGGCAGGGCGGCCTGGCAGGGCGCCACGGCCCCAGACGCGGCGGCCCCGCCGACGTCCCCGGCCGCCTCCAGGTCGGCGGGCAGCGGGGTCACGGGGGTCGCGGCGTCCCCAGCCAGAGCAGGCGCCACGGCAGCGATTGCCTCGCTTCCTGCGGCGCCGCCACGGCGACGTCGGGGGCCGACCCCGCCCAGCGGCTTCATGGCGCCGTCCGTGTTGACGAAGTACGGCACCCAGTAAAACCTGCCCTGAAGCGCTCGGGGACAGGAGCCAGCCAGCTCGAGCATCACCACGCACTCGCCCTCGCCAGGCTCCATCGAGACATCTCCCCCGTCGAAGTTCCAATCTGGCGTCGCGACCGACCGCTTGGTGGCCTCCCCATCGGCGTCCCGAAGCACAGGGACCATCATGGCCCTCTCGTGCCTGAAGCCCCCGCCAGGGTGTCCGATGGTTACGAGCCTCCCCAGGAGCAAGCTATTCAAACACCCCTGCACCGAAAGCGGCCTTCTGTACCCCCTCGGAGTTCCCGTCGGGTGAGTACCAGCGCCGTGGCGTCGAGCGCGCACTGGCTGCCACCCGCGATAAGTCACCATAATACAGGCTTGGCCCGCACAAGTGGACCCAATCGTCAGCAACACCACGTGCAAGTCGTGGTTGGCCGTGCTGCAGGTCAGCTCGCGCACGCAGGAGTTCGCACGTACGCGCCGAGCGATGTCCTCCACCGCCTCGGCGGACAGGCTCGCGCCGCCGCGGCTGACCTCGGCCGCGGCTGGCGCGGGGGGCGGCGCCCGCTGCCCAGGCCCTCCTGAGGCCACTGGCGCGCCGCGGTACCAATCGCGGTCGGCGGCGTCTCGCAAGATGAGGGCCAGGGTGGCAGGAAGGAGCCCGACCATCCGACAGGCTGGGGCCGTTAGGCTTTTTAGGAGCAGACCTCCCGGCCCGCCCGCCCCTGCACCCCCTGCATGCCGCGGCCGCCAGAGCCCTGGGCTCCCGATGATCCCTCGTGGTCCTGCCACGCCCCCGCCCCGCAGTACCGCGGCCGCCGGATGCCCCCGCCTCCCGAGACTACTCCCCGGGGGTCCCGCCCCGCGCGCCGGCCCGCCCACTCCGCCTATTGCGGCCGCCAGGTCCCCAGGTCCGGCCAGAGTCCCCCGAGGGTCCCGCCCCCCGCCGCGGCTCGCCCACTCTGCGGACCGCGGCCGCCAGGTCCCCAGGTCCCCCACAGAAGAGGGCAGAGCACCACACCACCCAGCAGAACATACACATGGCTCATTTCGAAGCGTTCGGCAATGCTTTGATTTTTTGCGGGGCAAGATCCTTTCATGTCTAATTGCTTGATCCTGGGCCTCTTCCTGGCCACTAGGGGCCAGGAACAATTAGAAACGAGCACAATTAGGAATGAACACGATTAGAAATTAACGACGTGTACCCGAGCATAACGTACCATGTCATGACAGACCGCATCTCAACATGACACACCGTGACAGAGCAGTGCATACCACAGCAGAGCATCACAGCACATGTCATTCCATAACATCACACATCAAGCACACCACAGCAAGTCAACGCAGAACTGAACTGAACAGATCAAACGTCGAAGGCTTCGGTGGGGATCGCTCGAAGCTAAATACTTTGATGGTTGCCTCCAGCGAAGGCGTTCCAGCGCGGCACGTGGATTCCGTGATTGGTGCAGGGACGTTGTCGCAGTTTGTTCGACCGCGTGGTGGGCCCGAGCTGGCCTTTACCACGCCGCATTGCCGCAGTAGTTTGCGATTTCTAAGTTGGACACGGTCGCTAGAAGGTGGCACCATCGCACCGTCATCTCCGCTCGCCGCCACCAGCATACCTTGCCGGGCAGGAGGCGACGGCAGCAAGTCGCCAGCCTCTCACTAGTGGGGGATGTAGACAGGCGGATTCACTTTTAGGGAGCAGGAAGCCAAGCGGACGTGCTTGTGCCGTGTTCTGTCTCTCCGCCCCACCTTGCCTCTCCGCCTTTTGCCTGGGCCCGCACCACATGGCTGCTTTTGGGCGCTCGGCCAACCCCAGCGCCCGCCCCGCCCGGCCGCTTCGGCCCGCCTCCCCGCGGCGTGGCTCAGCGCCCGTTGCACCGCGCCAGCCTGCCGGGCCCGCCGCTGGCCGCCCTGGCTGCCGCCGTGCCGGCCCCCCCACTTGCTGGGCTCTGCGTCGCACTGCGGCTGCTGGCCCCGCCGCTGGGTGTGCACGCGACGCCGCCCCGCGCCAGTGCCAGGGGCTGCCCCGCGGCCTGGCCGCCCCGCGCGCCTCCCGTGGCGCTGCCCCGTGAGTGCGCCCTCCCTCACTCTTTTCTCTCTGCGGCCGCCTCGTTTCTCGTCCTCCCCCTCTCGCATGCGGGAAGAATTGCAACGCCATAGCCTGGGTAGCTTGACGCGCGAGCGGATCGCCTCTGCCGCTCTGCGACGGAAAAGATTGTGCCGTGTTCTTGTTCTGTGATGTGCGTTGCGCATTCATATAAGAATGTGTTTGTTTTCGGAGGGTGCGTGTGTGTGTGTGTGGTGTGTGTGGTCCGTGCGCAGAGCATTGTGGAATGAGGGTTTGCTTGTGATAAGGTTTGTGCGGTGGGTTTGTTGGGGTGCCGTGCGGCGTGGGGTGTAGGTGTGTGTGTGTGTGTGCGCGCGTTCGCGGTGGTGTACTTTTGCAGTGGCGTGTGCGTGTGTGCGTGTTTTGGCTTTGGCGTGCTTGTGATTAGTTTTTGCATGTGCACGTGAGCGTGTGTGTGTGTGTGTTGTGTGTGGGCCTATGAGCACCCAGCCCTCTTGAGTCTCACACCTCTTCCTCGTTCCACGAAGAGCCGAGAGGCCTGCCCGCTCGCCCCCTCGATTGCGACATGCGTTCTGGCATGACCCCGCGAGGACTACCGCGAGATGCAGTCGGCGGCGACCGCCGACGGCGGCCGCGGGAAGGACTTCCGGCAGGGCCGCGGCGTGAGCTTCGCGAGCGGCTCCAAGGTGCGTGCGAAGGACGCCGGGGCCTGCCGCGCGCGCTGGGGTCCAGCACCGCCACTGGTCTCTCTAGAGGCTGCCCGATTGGGGCAACCCTGTGCAGAACTGCGCATTGGCCGCTCTTGGGGGCGATGTTTGGCGCTGAAGCGAGGACCACTTTGGGTTCAGGAGGGGCACTGGTTTTCGGGCCGTTCCTGGGACCTGAGTTGGGGAACCTATTCGTGGCCGAAGCTCGCCGTGGCCAGAAATAGCCCTTCGTTTCTTATTCGGTGCCGTTGTGGTAGCACGATGGCTGCAGTGGACCCATCGCCGCTTCGTCTCTCCGGTCTGGTGCAAGCTGCAGTCCTCACCGCGGCTTCCCTTAAGGTGCGGGCGGTCGACGCTGCAGTGGCGTTCCAGGAAGTCGGCGAACTGGGATGGTTGGCTGGCCCGCACAGTCTTCAGGGAAACGATCGGGCGATGGGAGATATGCACATGCACCGATCCTGGCCAGGATCGGTGCACACGCAAACTCCTCCTACGGGGTCTTCTCTTGGCGCGATGGGCGTCGGGCGGTGAGCGCCTGCCCAAGCGCGCGCGGCTCCTTCTTCACCTCCCGGGCGCAAGTTATGTTACCCCTGCAGCTGGCTGCAGCCGTGCATCAAGGAGGGGGGAAGGGTGGTGAGGTGAGGCAGAGCCCTGCAGGCGGTTCGTCGGAGGCCCAGTCCAGGCCTCCTCGGAGCGAGCCGAGGCGTCGGAACTCTCGCCCTCCGCGTCCCTCGCGCAGGGGCGTTTCCCCAGTGCTTCCGCCGAGGGAAGGTCGGCCTCCGTGAAGCCACGAGCCCCCAGGGTGCACGCCCTGGAGGAGGAGCAGGAGGAGGAGCAGGAGCAGGAGGAGGAGGAGGAGGAGGAGGAGGAGGAGGAGGAGGAGGAGGACGACGACGAGGCCGGAGGAGGAGGCGGAGGAGGAGGAGGAGGAGGAGGAGGAGGAGGAGGAGGAGGAGGAGCTACCCCCGCCCTGGGGAGCGATCTCGAAGCCCCCGCCCGCGAGGCAGGGCCCCCCCCGGTGTCCACGGCCAGACCCCCCCCCAGGGGACCGCCAGGGGCCCGGGGGGCCCGGGGGGCCGGGCGCGGGGCCCCCTCGGGGGGCCATCGTCGGGTCGCCACGGGCAAGTTTTCGAGTCGGGTCGTCGTCGGGTCGCCACGGGGGCCATCGTCGGGTCGCCACGGGGGCCACCGCCTCCTCTCCCTCCTCCTCCTCGACGACCCGACGATGGCCCTCCGGGGGCCATCGTCGGGGTCCACCGGGGCCCCCCGGTGGGCCATCGTCGGGTCGTCGAGGAGGAGGTGGAGGAGGAGGAGGAGGAGGAGGAGGATGAGGAGGAGGAGGAGGAGGAGGAGGAGGCGGTGGGGGTGACGTGATCAGGGGGAGGGGGTGGCGGGGGGGCCGGGCCACGGGCGGTGCCGCGAACAATAAACGAATTGGGTCCATCCTCCCCCCCCAGCTCCACCGAGAGCGCCCCTCTCCCAGCCCCCCTCCCTCTATAGGCCTCCTGGATGGGGTCCGAGTATATGGGGTCGGAGGATCGCGCCGCATCGCCGATGCATCGACGATGCGGCTCGATGTGGAGCCCGCGTTTCCCCGCACCGACGTCACCGATGTATCGCTGACGTCGTCGATGCATCGCCGGCGCATCGCCGATGCATCGCTGGCGCATCGCCGATGCATCGCCGATGCATCGCCGATGCATCGCCGATGTATCGGCGATGCAGCGCGATCCTCCGACCACATCTACTCCGACCCCATCTAGGAGGTGCAGCACCTCGGGAGGAAACACTTGAGCCGGTCGCACTCGAATCTCTGACGTCACGCCAGCACTCAGGCGATCGTAAACACGGATCAAAAGGTGCGTGGATTAGTGGCGGGCCCCGCTTCAATGGGAAATCGCAGACTTCTGCCGCCGAACGAGGCGGGACTGGCCGCATTTCGATTTAGGGGAGGGCACCTCCCCCGATCCATGGATTGGGCGCGGGTCCTCGTGCTCAGAGCGCAATCGATGAGAAGCTCGCTGCTGCCTTCGTGGACCCGGCCACAACCGTGTCATGGCTTAAGCAAACGTTGGTCGCCATGGTGCACGGCACCATCATGTTCGGGAGTCTCCCATAGTTGGAGTGCACAAGCCCTTCCCCAGTCCAACCTCCACAAGAAAGACATCAAGCGCCACGTCCTCGTCCCTCATCCGCCAGAACGATCTCATCACGCTGCAAGAGTCCCACGGCAACAACTTCATGTTTCACATCTTAGCCAACTCCGCGGGGATAAAGTACGAGGTCTACCACGGCGGGGCTCCCAATCGGGAAGCCATGGGGGGGGGGGGGGTCGCTTACCGAAGTACACGCAGCCGCAGCAGGGATTCACAACGCTCCCCAACATCCGCTTCAACACCATCGTTCTTGGCCGCATCGCGGAAACCCGCGTTCGTGACCCACGCCACGAGTGCTTTCACGACCTGACAGATAATGAACGAAGCAAATGTGAGGCGGCACGGCAGGCCGCACAGACAGAGACACGGAACGATCCAGATTATCTCATGCGATTCGTGCTCGGCGGCTTCAGCGTTTCAGAACAGCCAACACGCAGCCTAGCCAGGCCCGCCGACGTCAACGCAGCCGAACGGCACCAGTTCCAGCCCTCGTTCAGGAAACAGATTGTCCAGCAGACGGTCGAGATTTGAACGACATCCAAGGGGCGCGGCCAGGAACTCCGGGCCATGCATCGACAGATTCTTCTTTCTTTGCAGGCGCACAACCCACCGCACGTAGAGACCATCGCGGTGGTTGACGTCTCTCAGGCGGGACGGCGTGGGGTTGCAGCAAGTGGCCGCAAGCGATTGCGCGTTCGGATTCATTTTCGCGCGCAACGCCCTCTTCGCGCACACAGCATCCCCTCTGGCATCTTCGAAACTTAGCTTCAACCAGAAATGCATCGAGGAACTTGCGGGCAGCGCCAGCTATGACGGCCTCGCAGCCACCGGCAAATGGAGGGCGAATCAAGACAGTGTGACATGTGCGGCCGCCCGAGCCGGCGACGCCCTAGCTCACCTCTCTTCCGGTGCCCCCAAGAAAGACCTCGCCGAGATCGCCAGGGAGGAGCAATCCAAAATGTTGAGGGGCAACAAACTTGCGCAGTTGCCCATCGCCGATATTCACATCGGGGCGACGCGCGTGCTGATCTAGAACGTCGGGGGCGACGACGCGCAGCCCGCCTACGTTGAGCTCGTCGACCCCGACGGCATAGCAGCGGCCGCGGCTCGATGCGGAGCCCGATTTGCTTCGCGCGGACGTCGCCGATGAGTCGGCGACGTCGCGGAGTCATCGCTGGTGCATCGGCGAGGCATCGGCGAGGCATTGCCGATGCATCGCCGCTGTATCGCCGATGCACCAGCGATCCTCCGACCCCATCTACCCCGACCCCATCTAGGAGGCCTCTAATGTCCGTTGCGGCGCGATCCGCCGAACCCATCCACTCCGACCACATCCAGGAGGCCTCTAATGCCCCTTGCGGCGCGATCCTCCAACCCCATCCACTCCGACCCCATCCAGGAGGCCTCTAAGTGTCCCTCCGCGCGCTGGCCGCCAGGACTTCGAGACGGAGCAGGTGTTGGCGGAGACGCTGCGGTTCCTCTTCGGGAAGGCCGCCACTGCCCCGGAGGCTTTCGGCGAGACCCGCGAGGCGGCCGGAGTCCTCGCCCCAGTCCTCCTCCTCCTCCTCCTTGTTATCCTCGTCCTCCTCCTCCTCCTCCTCCTCCTCCTCCTCCTCATGTTCCTCCTCCTCCTCCAGCTTCATCTCCTCCTTGTCCTCCTCCTCCTCCTCCTCCTCCTCCTCCTCCTCCTCCTCCTCCTCTTGCGGGCGCTGGGTTCGGGCGAGGCGGCGCACGCACGGGTCGCCACAAAGTGGCGGCGACCACGCGGCTCTCGTGGACGCCACGGCAGTGTAACCTTTTAGAGCGCTTACCAGGCCTTCGTGGGCGGGGTGTCTTGGGAGGCGTGGCCCTACTCGGAAGCGCCCAGAAGCATTTCAAGAAGGTTTCTTGGAAGCCCCCGGGGCCTTCTAAGGAGGCCCCCTGCTTAAGAGCGCGCAAAGCAGCCAGGTGAATGACTCGACGCCCAAGTTATGTCAACATTATATGTTTTATGGTCTTCAGGTGCGGATGAAAGTGTGGAGGCGGCGGGGACGTCGGCAGACTGCGAGGCTCTGAAGAAGCCCGCCGCAGGCGCTTAATTTACAATCGTTTAAGCAATGTGGGTGGGTCGCGGATGGGTCGTGGGTGGCTCGCGGGTGGGTCGCGGGCCAGGTCGCGGGCGGGTCGCGGGTGAGTCATTGGGTGGGTCGTGGGTGGGTTTCGAGTTGGTCGCGGGTGGGACGACGACGACAAAAACGCAACGCACTTCAACGCAACGCAACAATAACAGCAACAACAGCAACACCAACAGTAATCCTCATCCGCGCCGCGGAACCTCACTTCAGCCAGACGTCCAGGGACAGTTAATGACGGTTCGGCCCCCTCAGCTGGCGATTTTGAGGACAGCTCAACTCGCCCGTTGAGTGATTTTGTGGCTGCTGCTTCCACCCAGCAGCAACAGCACTGAATTCCGGGGTCCACTGGTAGCTTGGGCCGACCTTGTCCTTCACTCGGCTGGGAGTGGGAGGGGGAGGGCAGCAGAGGGAATGGAAAGGGAAGCTCGGGCCGGACGAAAGGGGGGGATTGGAAACGGGGGGGGTACGAAATCTGCTGCATGCAGCTGGTTTCGGCCCCGCCGCCGAGCCCATTCATCGATACATGGGCGCCTCCCGGCGCCGGGAGGCGCCGGGAAAATCTGCTGCGTGAGCTGATTCTCAAACCCCCCTTTTGCTATCCCCCCCTTTCGCCCGGCCCGAGAAGCGGGAGATAAGAGGGAGGAAGACGGAGGGAGAAGGGAGGGACGCCGAGAGCAAAAGGGAGGGACACCGGCGGGAAAAAGAAGGGCACCGAGGGGAGGGAGGAGCAATTGACGGAAAAAGGAGTCAGTATAGTTTACCCGACGCCCATCCCCATCCCCATCCCCTTCGAGACCCCCACCAAGTTACCCCCCCTAGTTGGGGATACACCCCTCGAAACCCGAAGGGGACGGCCTGTATCCCCATCTAGGGGGGCAAATTCTTTACGCTTCGCGTATCCCCACCAGCCCATCTCAAAACAGCAACTCTTGCGAAGCATGCCGACAGTCGTGTTTTTCAGGCGTGTTTCCGCCTGCCCCCGCATATCTCCCCTGTTCCTCCTTCCTCCCGCCTCCTTGTACATCCTCCTTGTGGTGGGAGCGGGAGAAGGACGAGGCGGAGGAGGAGGGAGAGAAAGCGCTCCTCGTGGTTTGAGTCGTTTGGGGTTTCTCGTCCTGGTGTGAGTCGTTCGGGCCCTTCTTCCTGGTGTGAGTCGTTCGGGCTCTTCGTGGTGTGAGTCGTTCGGGCTCTTCGTCCTGGTGTGAGTCGTTCGGGCTTCTCGTGGTGTGAGTTGTTCGGGCCCCTCATCCTGGTGTGAGTCGTTCGGGCCCCTCCTCCTGGTGTGACTCGTTCGGGCTCCTCGTGGTGTGAGTCGTTCGGGGCCCGCGTCGTGGTGTGAGTCGTTCGGGCTCCTCGTGGTGTGAGTCGTTCGGGCGCCTCGTCCTGGTGTGAGTCGTTCGGGCCCCTCCTTCTGGTGTGAGTCGTTCGGGCTCTTCGTGGTGTGAGTCGTTCGGGCCCCTCGTCCTGGTGTGAGTCGTTCGGGCTCCTCGTGGCGTGAGGCGTTCGGGCACCTCGTCCCCTTTTGGGGCGTCTTGGGGGCCTCTTGGCGGCCCCAGGGGCTTCTAGGAGCGTCTTGGGTGCCTTGGGGGAGCCTCTTCGGGCCTCTTGGGAGCCTCTTGGAGGCCGTTTGGGGCGTCTTGGGGGCCTCTTGGCGGCCCCAGGGGCTTCCAGGAGCGTCTTGGGTGCCTCGGGGGAGCCTCTTGGGGCCTCTTGGGGACCTCTTGGGGGCATCTTGGGGGCCTCTTGGAGGCCTCTTGGGCGCTTCTTGGGGCCATCGTGGAGGGGATGGATCAAAGAAGAGGGGAGCTTCAATGAGCGCTGCCCCCTCAGAAGGGCAACATGAGCCCAAACCCTTCGTAAAATCAATGATTTTGCCTTGAAGGAAGAGGGGAGCTGTAATGAGCGCTGCCCCCTCAGAAGGCCAAAAAGGGGCCAAAACCGTAGTAAAATCAATGATTTTGGTTTCAAAGAAGAGGAGAGCATTTTTTCTGGTCCCCCCCGTCGGGGCCAGAATCCTCGTGAGGGGTGTCGTTTTTTAGCCCTCCCAGGAGTCGAAAAGGACCCCCCTGACCACCCGCGAAAGGACCTCTCCAGGCCCAGGGGGAGGGGGTAGGGGGAGGGGTAAACCCCTCCCCGAAGGGGAAGGAGGGTTGAGAACAGAGCGGGCTCTCTAAACCACTCACGCCCAAAGGGCTGGTGGGATTCGAAACGGAGTACGAGGAATAGCACTGACAGGAGCAGTACCAGTAGCAGTAGCAGTAGCAGTAGCGGTAGCCGTCGTCGTAGAAGTAGTAGTGTTAGTAGTAGTAGTAGTAGTAGTAGTAGTAGTAGTAGTAGTAGTAGTAGTAGTAGTAGTAGTAGTAGTAGTAGTAGTAGTAGTAGTAGTAGTAGCAGTAGTAGTAGTAGTAGTAGTAGTAGTAGTAGTAGTAGTAGAAGTATTAGTAGATAGTAAGTAGTAGTAGTAGTAGTAGTAGTAGTAGTAGGTAGTAAAGTAGTAGTAAGTGTTAGGCGTAGTAGTATGAGTAGAATAAAGTAAAAGAGTAGTAGTAGTAGTATATTAGTAAGTAGTATATAAGGTAGTGTAGTATGTAGTAGTAGTAGCGCAATGTAGCAGGTAGCAGTAAGTAGTAGTATAGTAGTAGTATGTGAGTCGTCGTACGTCGTATTCGTAGTAGTAGTATTAGTAGTAGTAGTATTAGAAGTTGAGTAGTAGTGTAGTAGTAGAGTTAGGAGTAGTAGTATAGCATTTGGACTAGTAGTAGGAGTAGTGGTAGTAGTTAGTAGTAGTAGGTAGTAGTAGTAGTAGTAGTAGTAGTAGTAGTAGTAGTAGTAGTAGTAGTAGTAGTAGTAGTAGTAGTAGTAGTAGTAGTGGCATTACCAGTATCAGCGGTAGTAGCAAACGTAGTCGTCAACGTCGTCGTCGCACTAGTTGTCTCAGTAGCAGAGGCAGTCACTAGAGCAGTGGTCTATATGGAAGTAGTAGTAGTAGTAGTAGTAGTAGTAGTAGTAGTAGTAGTAGTAGTAGTAGTAGTAGTAGTAGAGTAATAGTAGTAGTAGTAGTAGTGGTAGTAGTAGTAGTAGTTGTTGTAGTAGTAGTAGTAGTAGTAGTAGTAGTAGTAGTAGTCGTGGTAGTAGTAGTAGTAGTAGTAGTAGTGGTAGTAGTAGTTAGTAGTAGTAATAGTTCTAGTAGTAGTAGTCGTAGTAGTGGTAGTAGTAGTAGTAGGTAGTGTGGTAGTAGTAGTAGTAGTAGTTAGTTAGTAGTGTAGTAGTATAGTAGTAGTAGTAGTAGTAGTAGTAGTAGTAGTAGTAGTAGTAGTAGTAGTAGTAGTTCTAGTAGTAGTAGGACTCCTAGTAGTACGAGTAGAACTGGTAGGAAGTCGTAATAGTAGTTGTAGTTGTAGTAGTACGAGATGATGTAGTCAAACGAGTATGAGTTGTAGTAGTAGTGAAGTAGTAGTAATCGTAGGAGAAGAAGTAGTAGTAGATGTCTTTTGGAAGCCGCTCGGAGGCCTCTTGGGGCGTCTTCGGCGCCTCTTGGGGCCTCTTTGGGACCTCTTGGGGGTATCTTGGGGGCCTGATGGAGGCCTCGTGGTGCCTCCTGGGGACCTCCTGTGGGCCATCTGGGGACCTCTTGGGGCCATCTGGTGGACCTCTGGGGGCCATCTTGGGGGGCTTGTATGAGCGCTGCGCCTCCTCCTGGTGTGACTCGTTCGGGCTCCTCGTGGTGTGAGTCGTTCGAGGCCCGCGTCGTGGTGTGAGTCGTTCGGGCTCCGTCGTGGTGTGAGTCGTTCGGGCGCCTCGTCCTGGTATGAGTCGTTCGGGCCTCTCCTTGTGGTGTGAGTCGTTCGGGCTCTTCGTGGTGCGAGTCGTTCGGGCCCCTCGTCCTGGTGTGAGTCGTTCGGGCTCCTCGTGGGGCCTCTTGGGGGCCTCTTGGAGGCTCTTGGGGCCTCTTGGGGGCCTCTTGGGGGCCTCTTGGGGGCCTCTTGGGGGCCTCTTGGGGCCTCTTGGGGCCTCTTGGGGGCCTCTTGGGGGCCTCTTGGGGGCCTCTTGGGGCCTCTTGGGGGGCTCTTGGGGGCCTCTTGGAGGCCTCTTGGGAGCTTCCTGGGGGCCTCTTGGGGCCATCTTGGGGCCTCTTGCGACCGCCTCAGAAGCGCAAATGAGCGCTGCCCCCTCAGAAGGAGAAAATGAACCCAAACCCTTCGTAAAATCAATGATTTTGCTATGAAGGAAGAGGAGCGCTGCCCCCTCAGAAGGCCATAATGGGGCCGAAACCGTAGTAAAATCAATGATTTTGGTTTCAAAGAAGAGGAGAGCATTTTTTCTGCCCCCCCCGTCGGGGCCAGAATCCTCGTGAGGGGTGTCGTTTTTTAGCCCTCCCAGGAGTCGAAATTGACCCCCCTGACGACCCGCGGCCC